GAACTATGGATGCTGCTTATTATAATATTAATTTGACATTGCAGGTCCTGCAATGTAACTATTGCAAGTTCGCACATTGTGATATTTTTGCAGACCTAGTGGAGTCACTTCAGAGTTTAAACAAAGGAATCAACGTTAATAATTTAATACATTTAAAACGTGACTGTCTGGGCACTTCAAGAAAGTTTAAAGCATTCCGACATTATTATTATTACTACATTATTGATACATTAAGTGTTAGTTTGACTCTCCAAAATTCCACAAAGTACTGTTTTATCTAATTTTATCTTTGCTCTATTGTATCAAAGACTGTAAAATACACAAGACATGCCAGTCATATAATTCTGAATGGGGAAAAGTGAAACAGACAATATGCTCACTCTAGAAAAAGAAGCTTCGCCTTTAACTAAATGAGCAAATCATTGATCACTAATGATGGCTGATGATTTTTCTGGGGGAGGGGAAATCTTAGCAAATCCTTGCCTCACAGACATGAGCGATATATCTACATAAAGCTTGAAACTTCTACATCTAAACAAACCAAATACAGTTGGAAATAAATGTTCTCTGGTTTTGTAATCTGCACGAAACAAAACCAAACTCTGACTTCATGGATTTCTACCAGTCAAACACAAATCACATGTCGGAAATCATTTGAACACACACAAAACATAAACAAAGAGGTCATTGTCATTTTGGTATGAGATTTGCCATCTGGATTAGGTTGGAAATTACTTCAGAAGACCAGCGCGATTGGCCGCAGCATTATTAGGAGAATGATATTGTGCAACACATAAGGTATTTGTTCTTATGGTAGTTATAGTTGGAGTAACAGAATGACATCTAAATGTGGCCTTCAGAAACAGGCGTAAATAGGGTTGATGTCGTGATCTTGTTCCTTTCGAATGCACATGCACATTAGCTTGTGCAACCTGAAAACCTTTGTAATGATTCATGATTTTGATTCATGAATCAAAATTTAAAAGACAATTAAAGAGTTCAATTCACTGGTGCCTCCATATATGAATTTTAATCATAAGCTTGACCAAAGGTTTTGGAAAATTTGATGTTTCCCCATTCAAAAAAGAGCTTGCACTGGCATGCCCAAGAGCCGTTTCAAAGATGAATGTGGAGTGAAATGATTTGCCTTAAAGAGATTTTTATTGTATGTATCTATACATAAATTAGTTAATTTTGTTAATACAGTAATTTGTTTATTATATCATATGAATGATTTACTCACTTACAATCCCCATCCCTATCAATCTAAATTAATGACTTGTTTCCAAATTTCCAAAGCGGCTTAAATCATCTGGTAAAATTGTATTCATAAAAGAAAATAAAAAATATCACAATGCCCAATTTTTCCAATATCATACAGCCTCAACAACATCATCCATCAAAAACACAGAAATCTCTTATTAAAAAGATAAAAAAAACTCACCATATGACTCTCTGACCCCAATGACCAACTGCGAATCAAACGCCTCTCCCAGCCGTTCAGCATGTACCAACTTCATGGCACTATCCTGCAATCTATTCTTGATGTTGGAGAATATAGACTCGTTCCAAGTGTCCAGCATCAGCTGCAGGAACACAATAAGCCCAAAAGGATGAATCCCAATCTAGGAAAATGTGCTACAAGCAAGCTCTATCCCACTCACCTTCCTAACAATGCTATCCTCCACATTGGACTTCTTGCTGCTGCCCTGTTTGCCCATCAGAGTGATCTCCAGCTGGCAAAAGGGCTTGGGCAGAATGTCACACTGTGTGAAGAACTTCCTCCACTCCACGATGTAAGCCTTGAGAAGCGCCGTGTCATCTTGGTGACTGAGCACTCGCTAAACACCAATGATCAACAATGCGAGATGATTCAGATGAAGAACTATTTTGTTTTCATGTTCAACAGAATAAAACTATTCAAACTGGTATGTAAAAATGAATTATCCCTTTATATTGCACCCTGAGCAGCATGGGTTGTGTTGGGATATTCATTGATAATAGTCCTACTAAACAGATGTTTCTATAAAAAATTATCCATAAGTGAAGAAGAAGAAGATGATGAGGGGAAAAAAATAATAATAATATGAAGAAAAAAACTACTTTGTGATAGTTTACTGTGAAGTTAATTCCTAAACCTCTCTTACCGCTTGAGCTTGCTTAATAAAATCTAAGATGTCCTCCTTGAGGGCCTGATGGATCTTTGCCGGTCCTTTGTCATCCCATAGACAAACTGCATGAACATCTCTGCAAGAATAAGATGACACATTTAACATTTAGATTACCAGCATTTTGTTGAATCTACATCCCCAAATCAGAAAAAGTTGGTAGAGTATGGTAAACGCATATAAAAAAGGAAAGTAGTGATCTCTAAAATGTAAGACACCAAGTGTTACATTTTTCCAGGTGTAATTTTGTCCCATTCTTCCTGCAAACAAGTCTTAAGGTGGGCAACAGTAAAGGGTTTTCATGGTCGCATTTTGCACTTCAAAATGCGCCACGTAAACTATTGGAGACAGGTCGGGACTGCAGAAAGGCCAGTCAAATACCTATAGCCACTTCCTTCGCAGCCAGGACTTTGTAGTATGTGGAGAATGTGGTCTTGCATTGTCTTAATGAAATATGCATGGGCTTCCCAGCAAAAGAAGGCAGCATATTGTGCTCCAAAATCTCAATGTACTTTTCAGCATTAATGGTGGCATCACAGAAGTGCAAGTAAATGACAGATCCTAGCTATTGGACTTGTTGCTGGTAAGAGTCCGGATAATTATTTTCGTCTTTGGTCTGGAGCAGACGGCATCTATTATTCACAAAATATACATGAAAAACTGATTCATATGACCATGTTTCCACTTTGTGATGATCCATCACAGATGCCTCTGAGCAAAGAAGTTGATGCACTTCTGGACACTGTTAACATAGGGCTTCCCTTTGGCACATTACAGGTTTAACTGGCATTTGTAGATGTAAATAAATATTGTGGTACTTGACAAAGGTTTGCTAAAGTAGTCCTGAGGCCAGATTCCTTGAATCTTTTAATTATGTAGTGCACTGTTGGAGGTGAAATATCCAAATGTCTTACAGACATTGAACATTGTTTTTTAACATTTCAATTTTTTTCGTGTATTTGTAGTAAAACTGGCAATCCTCTGCCCATATTTGCTCCTAATAGACTAGACCTTTCTTGCATGCTGCTTTTGTACCAAATCATAATTACAATCACCTGTTGACATTACCCGTTTCTAAACTTCATTATTTATCCAATTTACCTGATTAGCTCTAAATTGCTCCTGTCCTAACTTTTTTTTTTTAAATGTGTGGCATGTCGGAATGACAGAAAAGGATGTATATTTACAAAAGAACTGAAGTTGACCAGACAAAACATTAAAAAAAAATTGTTTCCATGTTGTTTTTAATGAAATACAAGTCAAAGTAAATTTGGAAATCAATGCTTTCTTTTTTATTTGCGTTTTCCATACTGTCCCAACTTTTCTAATTTGGTGTTGTAAAAAGATCTGAATTCACAGGGCCTTACGAGAACTGATCGAACCACTGCTGCTTAGTTACAGACTCTTGGCGAAGCAACTTCAGGACAATGGGACGCATAAGATCCCACTTGTCCTCAAACTGGAGGGAACCTTTGTTCTAGGCAAAATAAGCATAAAGGGAGACAGATAATTAGAAAACAAGTAGATATATGTCTTTATTTAATCATAACAGCTTATATGCAGTAGTTTACCTTTTCCATTTTAATTCTTTTGTTTGTTTTCTGTTTTTCTTGGTTATTTACTGGCATTTTTAATTATTTTTGTATCATTAAAATATTTTAAGCCATTTTAATATTATTGCTCATAAATTACAACTATATTTCAGTTGTGATGTATGACCAACATCTGTATTAAGATTAAAATATGTTTGTCAAGGCACCTAAGAGCTTTAAATAAAGAAATAATGAAATCAATAGCCAATATCAAAAGGTACAATAAATTACTAAAGAGAAAAAAAAATCTAATATTCTACAATTTAAATTCAAATACAATTCAAACTGACATCATATCCTCAATAGACAGAAAAGAGGGGTTTTTGATAAGTAAAAGACTCAAATTATACTAACCTGTCAAACTGGACATAATTTTGAACACTCACATGATATTCAAAGTAAGTAGGCAGCTCACTAGATGTTTTTGAGACACAGCTACTATATTTAACTGCATGAAAATAAACATCATGCACACTCTAATTTAAACTCCCTGATGATTCCTTTACATAATTAAACTATAAAAAAACAAATTTCCCCAGACATTATACATCGTAACAAGGCAAGATACTATAAGCACATGAAAGTCAAAATGATCCACACTCGTTCACATTTATATGATTAGCTCAGGCATTACACTGAGTGTCATTTAATCATTGGCCAGGCTAGCAACATGCGTGCTAACTGTAACAGTAACATGCCTCTTTATGATATATAATTATAAACAATACAATACTGTAAATAAGCACCTAGTGGAGTGATTTATGGCTTTAGGTGGTCTACATGCACTCCAGCATTGTTGTGATTATTGGCTTTATTAATCTCAGCTAGCTCACAGCCAGCTAGCTAAACACAGGCTGCAAGACAATCTTATAAACTGACAGGACATGCACGGAAGAGTCCAAGCAAGCCGCTAAACGTCAATAGTACAACATAGTCGTTTGGAGGTTATGAGCGTCTAAACGGAGTTTTGGCTGTTTATGGAGCATTTGGAGGCAAAGGGCTTAAGTGTCTCTTACCTTTAACAAATTAGACGTCGCCATGTTTCCTTAACTTATCCCCTCGTCCGGTCTCGCGAGATTTGCTTCGGTATTGGAACTAGTGATGAGAATGAATACTTTGAGCAGTTAGCTTCTAATAACCTCGTCTAAAATCGTGTAGTGAACATTTGTGTTTCGATTTCGTTTACTAAAACCAACCTCGTCATACATATGTGTAAATAAAAACTTAATGTGCGCTGTAAACAATTATTAATTACATTTTATTAGTAGCATTTCATAATTCAGCCAGAATAAAGGCATTGATTCACCACAAAAGCCAACATATTTACACCCATCTCTTCAGTTCAGTTTGTTTTAATTTCAAGACAAATAGTTTTTATAACTTAGACATAAAAACACTGTGACATCAAAAATGAGATCATAATACAAACACCAGTACTTTAAATAAACGTCCATAGCCTCATTCAATAGGAATTGTCCAAAATGGTTCTTCTTGATTAGTTACTCGTGTAACCATTGGTTTCATGTTAAATTTAATTACTCACCCTCAGATCATTCATAAAGCACGTAACTTTTTTTCTTAAGGAGTAGCCTATGTAAAAGATGACATTTACAGTGACCTGTAACCTTTGGACACTGACATTTTGAGAGTCAAAAAGCAAACAAATAAACTAACAAAGTTTTATGATTTGAAATATTGCCATCCCTGAACATTATTTACTTACAACATTATAATTTTGAATGAAATCATTTTGAACGATAACTTTAAAAGCCAGACTGGTAAAAACAGGTGGGTTTTTTCTTCAAAAGTGCATCTTTTTGCGGTTATAGGCATCATTTAGGCTACTATTTAATTAAGAGATTTAAATATTGCAATTTAGTAACATTTTAAGCACTATTTAAGCTAAAATAGATTGTTGAATGGGTAACATTACCAAAAAAAGTACATTTGGAAATTCATAGATAACAACAATTTGCTAAATATTTCACATTCATTTTAATATTGGTCGCTTTTGTTGCTTCACGCCTTTTTATTGGTCATTGTTTGATTCAAAAATAAGGTTTTGATTTAGAATAAAAGTTACTTGTAAAGTATCTTCTCTATTTAAAACAAAACAGTAGCGAAAGATGACTTCACTTATGTCAGATTGTATGTTTTCTTGCACAGCTGGATGCTGACCTCTGAACTTGTGTGCATTAGCCAAAACTAATTATCTGAAGTCAGCCCAAAGCGACAGCCAACAGCGGATTCCGCTTGGTCTTAAAATCTTTTTCAATGGGTTATTTTCACTATTTATGATGGCATATACAGTCAAAATAGGACGAATTAGCTCATGTATGGGACAAATTCTGGACCTTTGTCAGTGAGGGGTGGGTATGGCTACAGGCCCGAATCAGGATATTGCAAGCTTTTTGTCTCATAAAGACATTGATCATGCCAGTCAGATCTATTAGCAGTCAACTGAGATTGTACACACTCATAAAATCTACAAGTAGGCCTACAATTTTGAAAAACAATATATTACCTTTCTGTCCATTGTAAACAAATAGCATCAGCTCATTGACTGAAACACAATCAGGCAAGGTCTCAAATATCTTAGTGCTGTTACATAATTATTCATTCATTCATTCATTTTCCTTCAGCTTAGTCCCTATTTCAGAGGTCACCACAGCGGAATGAACCACCAACTAGCATACTGTATGTGTTTAATGCAGAATGCCTTGCAGCTGCAACCCAGTATTAGGAAACACACTCATTCACACTCATACACTAAGGCCAACTTAGTTTATCAATTCACAAATACCGCATGTCTTTAGACTGTGGGAGAAACCAGAGCACCCAGAGGAAACCCACGTGAACATGGGAAGAAAATATAAACTCCACACAGAAATGCCAACTGACCCAGCTGGGGCTTGAACCATCACCACTGAGCCATCATGCCGCCTGTTACATAATTACACATAATATAAATATTAGTGTTTTTTTTCTTTCTGCATATTTTACTTACAAACAGATCTGTTTTCACGATAATTGTTTGTTAAAGATGTGGGATAAAGCTAATAATGATTTAATAAAGCAAAACTTTTAGCTTCAGAAGACATAAATGCATCGTCATGAGCTGCAAGTATTAATTTTGTGTTAACTGTATATGTTGTTTTGACTCTCAAAGTGCCAGTAGCCATCGGCTTACATTTTACAAATTACCAACTAATCACAACGTCTGCAGAACACACAACGTCACCTTCATCTTAGATGGTCTGATGATGAGTAAACTAACGTCAAACTTAACTATTCCTTTCTAACCCGTTGGTCAGATGCAATTCTAAACATAGCTAGACACGTGAGAACTCTAAATAAGTTCATTTCACATGACCAGATATGTGTGACAGTTAATGTCTAAACATCGAGAGGAGGTGGTTGACCAGTTTAATCACTTTATTTGTAGTTTTAATAGAGTATGGTTTCTTTTCTGGTCTTTCAGCATGAACAGGTTGGTTGCATGGTATGTATTGGTTGTAAGAAGACGTTTAAACACATTTCAGCTTGAAATGTCTGTCAACCAGTCAGTCAAATACCACACTGACCGGGTGTTGGGAAATCAGGAAAAACTGACCACCAAAACTTTTTTCCTGCAACCAATATGTTGATGCTGATGATTCACTTAAAATTTCTTTGACTTTAGTTTGTGAATTTTGGAGCATCAATAAATCTGAGCTTAATTTCTGCATGCACATCCAGGAATATCCCCTCATCAAGGGATATTAAGGATTTAAATTGACTTAAATACAGTCATTTTCTTAAAAATTTGTCTGGACATGCAATATTAAACACAATTACTCAATAAAAACCTTTCTTAATGCAACACTAAAAAAACAACAACAATATGTACCAGATTTAACTTTAACTCAAAAACAATAATGACACAAACTTAAGCAAGATAAATCAGTGCACATGGTTTCTCTTTGAAGATCTTCAGTCTTGATTCTGTGTTTGATCCACTTTATGGCGGCGGCGAAAAAATCCACACTGGAATTGAAATCACATGAGAGTCAGTGCATGCCAAAATAACGATTATGTTTGGAATTACATACCATCTTGTGAGCCTCACTATACATATAAACACAATGTATATTTTAAGCAGATTCACTGACAAAGTTTAATGTTCCCTTGGTAAAGCTTAAAATTTAAAATAGTTAAAAAGTATGTTTTGGCATGCCACTAGCATACTGCTGCACTTAGTTTCATCACACTGAAAGTATAATCCAGCAGGAGTTATAATTTAAATGTGCTAGCATGTTGTGAAACCTGCTGAAAATCCAGCATATTCTGGTAAGGTATATTTAGATGCTGGTGTGGTTTGGTTTGTGCTGGTTCTTGTTGTTCAACACTGACTATGCAACACTCCTGTGTAACTGAAAACTGGCAAAGAGGTAAGGTTCGGGTGGAGTAAGAGATGTCTTGTTGCTGCTAGATGCCTGGTAGATGCCTTAGATCAGTATCAAACTCAATTCCTGGAGGGTCATAGCTCATAGCTCTTTGCTCCAATTAGGGTTGGAGCAAAGCTGTGCAGAGCTGTGGCCCTCCAGGAATCCAGTTTGAGGCCTATGTGCCTTGGATAATTTATTCAACACTTCATGAATTAACGTGACTTGTTTGTATTCGGACCACATGTGCTTGGTTGTATACTTTATTTTTAATTAATTGAGTGTTTACTGAGTTTGGTATTTTAAATAGGTATTTTAAATTTAAACGCTAATTTCTTTTTAAATACTTTAAAGTCTGTGTTTGTGAATGCTATAGGCTATTTATGAAATCCAGGCATAGCATTTTATAGCCTAAAGCTGATCAATCTGATAGATTCTGAAGTAAATTAAAGTTATTGTTAAATTATATATATATAGTTAATAAATTATTCTAACTAAAACAAATACATTTATAAGCTAAATTATATAAGAATATCCCTCATCAGAATAATGGAGGCCAGAATTGATTGATATTTGATAATTGTAAGAAAATAGTCTCCTAATAGACTGTGTAAAGCCACATAAAACAAATAAACGAATACTATGCCAAATTCAGGGACTGGAGTTAAGTGAGGTAATGCTATGGAGAGCAACAGATTCCTGTTTTTGTTCCAGGCTGTAAACACCTTTTTCTGCTATAACCTTGGACATTTTAACAAAGGAGTCTATTGGGATTTAGACCAGTTGAAGCCAACATCTAGTGGCTAGTTGCCGCTAGGTCCTGAGAAGCAAGAACCAGCATCAAAACATATCATACCAGCATATTGTGTGTTTTTTTTTTACACGTGGAACACGAAATAACAAGTTTAAGAATGTTTTTAACATGTTAATATCATGTTGTTAACATTTTAGCACAATATCATGTTCTCGCACAATGCATCACTACAACATTTAATCTTTACTATGATGTTAGTAATAATTGAGGTTGTTAGCATGTTTTAAAATAATGCTAGAAACTGATCATGATGCTAGCATGTTTTCTTTTTTTTTAAGCATAAACCATTATTGCTGAAATGATTCTAACATGTTTATTTTTGACTGTCATTATTTAGCATTAATTAGCACAAAATCATTTCCTACCTAAAGAACAATGCAATAGCATGTGGGAACAAAAAGGAAATGAACAAGTTTACCTTGATGAGGATGATGATGAAGATCAAAAGGAACAGAAATCCACCTATGGATCCTCCAATGATGGGGCCTTTCGATGTCATCACTTGCATCTTGGTAACCGGCACCTCCAACTGTATTGCATCAGTTGAACTATCAGTCCCCAAATATTGTTAACATGATTAAAAAATGGAAAATGGCACTCACAGTAAAGCTTTTTATAGTATCCTTTGCAGAATAGAGGGTCTCATCATAGCTGTATTGACCTTCAACAATGATCTTTTCTGATGTGTCCTGTTGGTTGGAGAGTGTTTAAATGAGCAACAGTTTGTTGATGCACAAGACTATATTCAACACATGCTCATTGGGAAAACATACCCCTGTATATATTTCTGGAGAGCGCAAAGTATGTAGCCAGAGCTATGTATGGCTGAATTTCGTCTTTACAGTGCGGTATGACAGCTTCTTTTTGCACTACCAGCTGACCACTTACCTCCGCTTTGACGGCTTTACCGCTATTACCAGTTTGTCCAGTGGCTTGCCGCATATGTCAGTGGACTTGAGATGCTGAAAGGAGTTGACCACGACGACTGGGGAGTCTGACTAGGAATGCTTACAGAATGTGGGCAAAACAAAAAGTAAAAATAAAATAAACAAGTAAATAATAGGGTGAGAACGTGGTAAGATCTCAAAACGTGGTAAAAATCAGGCGTCCATGAGGGCTTATTTTTTTTCTGGATTGCTTTTAAAATACTGTCGGTTGGGTTTAGGGAAGAGGATGGGTAGGGGGATTGGTCAGTCAGTCGACAGCTGCCTCTGGTGGATTTAGGTGAGAACAGCAGGCTCGAATGGCACTGGCGAGACAAATTTGAGATCTGAAAAAGCATACAGAGCGGCCCATGGTGGATTCACGAAAACAAAAACTGCAAATGAAACAAACCTCCTGGGACTTATTTCATGCTTTCCAGAAATGTATATAGGGGTACACATCAATAATGAGCCTGGGTTGACTATATCACAATAGTTGAAATATATACCTATACCTGAACATCATGTATGAAAACATTGGCTTCAATGGTGATTATTTGCAGCTCTTTCAGGGTACATTTGTAGATATAGGATGCCTATAGACACAAAAATATATTGTGGTAACACTTTAGTTTTGGTTACAAATCATGCTATTAACTACTGGCTTATTATCTGCATATTATTAAGATGTTAACTGTTTATTAGATGTTATAAATTATGATCATCTTTTACGTCTGTAATCCTACCCAAAACCCAACTTCTACCTTATTAATAAACAGCTAATTAGTAGTTTATTAAGCTAGTATTGTGAGTTAATTGTTTGTTAACACAGTGAATTGTGACCTAAAATCTTAACAAATATGTTCTTTTCAATCTTAACATAAAAAAACTGAAGACGAGGATGAATCTTTGTATGCAACTGTACAGTAGCTAGTGGTGCTGACCAAAAATTTCACTATAATATATTTAAATGAATATTGATCACTCTCATGACAAAACTACATCTTTTATTTGTTTACCTAAAGGCTGAGTTTTCCATTTTATCCTTTTAAAATTCCCAGTAACACTTTACTTTGATGGTCCATTTTAGTATTAGTAGGCTGTCTGGTTAATATCTGTTGATACTGACATTTAACAGTCCTTCAACAGACATTTAACTGACTATAAGAAACTTTGCAAGTACATGTTAACTTACAGTAACCCTAACCCCAACCTAACAGTCTACTTATAATCTAATGACAATTAGTTGGCATGTAGAAGCAATGTAATTTATATTTAACAAACGGACCATCAAAATAAAGTGTGACCATTCTCAATTTAACTATAGTTTTGCATTTGTTTTCATTTTGAAAAACAGGAACATACATAAATTCAGCCAATTCGATTGTTATCACTCAATTGAATGGGTGTTATCAGTGGTTCTCAGCTGATAGATATGGGCCAGTAGGGGCCTTCTGCGCCTACTGGTAGGCTTAGAAGGCTGTTATCATCCATCCACATGTTTAATCAGCTATAGATCAGATATGACTGTGGATGAAAGTTAACAAGAATTATTTATATTATTTATTACATTTCCCAATAGTTGTATTTTATTAACATCTACCCCATACCCTGAACCCAACCATTAGTAATGTAAAAACAGATCTGGATTTGCACTCTTCTCTATTAGTATAACTGGTTAACCATGTGCATGGATAATAACAGGTTTCTGGACCTACTAGTAGGTGCAGAAGGCCCCTACTTGCCCATATCAATCAGCTGATAACCACTAATATCATTCGAAGCGGGTGCATAATTTTAGCTACCTCATCTTTAAAGGGAAAACTAATGTTAAAGTAATAAATAAAATGAATTATTTGACCTAGTTTTTTGATCATGCTAACCAAAGTTAAACCATGCTCAAAGTTACTATATTATTACTTGTTATTAACAGTAGCCTAATGACAATATTTTCATAATAGGAATGCACCAATGTATTGGCCAATGGTATGTATCGGCCGATGTTTAATTCATTTAAAGGTATTGGCATATCGACAGTAGTAAAAACAAGGCCAATATCGATATTGAAATTTTTCATCTTAATTAGTTTGGAATGATTGAATGTTAAACAAATTCCAATCCATGTTCAGTAAAACTAATTTAATGGACAAAAAGCTAGTACTGTACTATAGTTTTGGAATCGGCCAAAAATGTTTAGTTAAAATCTGTATCATATTGGCAACTATACTTGATAACACAAATTAGAATACAAATGCTCAAAACCCCTGTAGCAAAATATTGAAAAAATTGATAGAGCAATAATGAAATATAATCAGTGTCAACATTCATAATATTATACAGCTTGATATGAATATCCTACATTTCTACTGAAATGGTAACAAACAGTTAGTCATACAATGGGTAAACTGTGTTAATCATTATTGTTTTATCATCCAGTCTGAGAAAATATCTAGAACAGTAAAGCAAAGTGTTACTTATTTTTATTTAACAAAAGCGGTTTTCTTACCTCCTTCACCTTGTTAGCTTCAAGAACACACACCTAATGCAAAAAGTGCAACAAATGTTAGTCTGATGGCTTTGATGATATTTATTTAGTCACTTCTTGCAAAAAATAGTGTGATACCTCTGGTTGGATTTTGGTGATGTGTAGATCAGTTTTAGAGGTATCCATTTTGATAGTTATAATTACATCAATTGTAGCGCCATACTTATTTTCACCTTGAAACTGAATTAGAATACAATGCAATTTAAGTATGGTAAAAATAAATATCAGACGGCTAGTTCAAAGTGAAGTTTAAAGTACTTGAATTTTAAACTTGATTGGCTGAGTTTTTCCTTTTCCCCCTTCTTCAATACGGAGTATGTTAGGTTCGGCTGAGCTGCATGATTTTGCAAAATAAAAAGTACTATTAACAATAATAATAATAATAATAATGATGATGATGATAATGATGATGATAGTAATATTATTATTAATAATAATAATATATGAATCAATATTACAAAAGCAATAGGTTTTATGTAAAATAATTCACAGGTTGTTTGTTTACTCACCCACGTATAAGAATTGGTAGGAAATACATCACATTAAACGTATATATTCTAGAGTCCAGAAGCTGAATGCCATTATTCTGACTAAAAAAAAGAAAAATAAACAATAAAAACAGATGAAATACTATATTCAGATGTTCAAAAACCAGAGTAATGTTCAAGCCAGCATTCAAACCTGGTAAGATTTGCTATAATCTCAGACTTCTTGAGATCAGATTTGTCATTAAGTTGCCAGGAGATGAAGAGATTGGTCTGGAAAAATAATTAACAAAATAAATAAAACAAAAGGTACAAATGAGAATGGTAATATTTCAAAGATGTGATGTGAGATTTTTTACCTGTGCAGATCTTGTGAAAACCGGGTGTTGAAGATGACACTGAATCTGATTGTCATTCTTCACAGGACAGGCGGCTCCTTCAATTTTCTGTTTGCAGAGCACAGTTCGTCAGGACTCTCTGTTAAATGCAACTGTGAGAAGAGCTGTGAGTGTTTTTTTTTTTTACCCTCTCACTGAGTATGCTGGGGTACGTCAACGTCAGGGTGGTCTTGTAGGAAGGGTCTCCAGTGTTGGTGAAATTGAAATTGATATTCAGGTTTTGCGTTTCTCCCATTGTGATAGTGGTTTCACTGCAATATTAATATACATTTAGTTACAAGAAAATATATACTTTTACATGTCTTATAAATACGTACACTCCTAAAACGGAAATGAAGTTAACTAGATAAAGACTAGAATTTGATCAGTACGTACCTTATTTTTGAATCAGATAATGTAATGCTAGGTTTACAATCTGCAGCCTGGCAGTCCTTTTCAAATGGAATCTAATGAAAACAAATTGAAATTTCTGATCATTTACTAAGTCATTGGTAACACTTCATGATACAGGACATTTACTGTTAGTTATTGTTTTTACTAACACAAACACACAATGACCAATACACTTGTTTCAGTATCTATTCATATTTGTTAATGTTAATTCATGAAAATAAAAATGTTAATGTTTTACTGTTTACAATTTCAGGTAGAATCCACATTGACTTACAGGCAGCAATTTGCCAGTAACTTACTGTAAATCAATTACCGCAAAAATATTGTATTTACATTTACAGAACCATTTATCTTGCTGTATATGTAACAACATAATTGTAGGTGTATATTTATTGTATAATATACAGTAATTTTCACAATACAGTAACATACTGCATAACTGTCCTACAGTAAAATACAGTTCACATTACAGTTACTGTGTAATTCACAAAAATCGTCAACAGTGTAACTCATGATGCATTAACTAATGTTAACATGCACAGCATTGGATTTTAATAATGCATTAGTCAATGTTGATTAATAAACGTTTTACTAAGTAATTTATCAAAAATCTGTACAGTATGGATAATGACTGGATGATGTTTTAAATAAAAGTCGCCACTAGTTTGCTTGGTTTGGCACTTGTGGAGCTGCGCATTGATGGATTTGCTCTTCAGTGTTTGGACTTTTCAGCAGTGAAAATTAAATCACACTGAACTGAACTAAACTGAGCTTCAACTCTGAAAACTGGACTGACACAGTTTCCATTTACTAATCTTATGTGAAGCTGCTTTGACACAATCTACATTGTAAAAGTGCTATAGAAATAAAGATGAACTGAATTGAATTGAATAAAAAGATTTACTCAAAAGTGACACAATTACTACTGATTATAAAATAAGACATTTATAATGTTTACCCTTGTGGTAAGTCCTTAGAAAACAAAAATGTCTGTCAAAAACTGTCAAAAATGATCATATACTGTATTCATTTATTTTCTGCTTTCTCAAAGACTTCTTTATCAGAATCAGCCCTGATGATGAAGTATCAAAAATATTTTTGAAGATTTTTAACTCTTTAATAAAAAAAAAACATACGTCACTGTTATATAAAAGTATTTTTCCATTTTACATAAGTAAATTAGAAATATTTTGTTGCATTTCTCTCATCATTAAAAATTATAAAAATTTCAGTATATCCATTATATCCATACTAGTAGTAATGGGTGATTATTTTTACTGTATTTTATTAATAATAATAATAATAATAATAATAATAATAATAATAATAAAAGGTTACCTCTTTTACAACCTCTGTTGGAGTAAATGCATCAAGAATGCGAATAGGTGCTTCATTTTTGTTGGATGCCAATGAAAAACTCAGCTTGATTTTAATAGGTGAAAAACAATCAAAGCAGCCCTGAAAGGAAAACACAGCTCGTCTCAGTTAATATGACAAAATAAGAGTCATAGCTCTCAGACAAAAACACTGTGATAATCACTGACAATTTGAAACAGTAAATTCAAGCTGATTGTCGGTTTACATTGCTATATAGTTTTTTTACATGAAAAAAAAAATAATTAAATGAACCAACATACCAAATATGTTAGCTTCTTATTAGTGCACTCTTCATCTGGTGTCAGAGTAAAAGTGTCTTTTATTAGGCTGTCTGCGCCGCAAGTGAGGCGCTTTTTGCTTGCACCAGAATCCAAGTCAATTTCATAGTCAACAGCCTGTGTTTCAGATTTTTCAGCTAAAACAACAGGAAGTGAAATGTGGTTATAATAGAACATGAGCATCAAATATTTTCGGCGATCTTAAACTCACTTACCCTTAAGCTTTCCTTTTTTTATGTTAAAGCAAACAGTAATCTTCATGCTTAACTCGCTGGATATTTTATTCATCTGGTGAGTGAGAGCAATGACTTCTGTATCAATTTTGATAGTTGGTTCGATAATCAAGACTGGGATAGTTCTGTAAAACATAATACAGTCAAAAAACTGGTTCAACTATCCTATAGTAAATCTGAACGTATACTCAAACATAATGAGAAATTCGGTCACATTGAAAAATAGAGTAATGTACAGCTGAAGTCAACCCTGTGATTTTTTTTTTTTTTTTAGTTGTTTCCATTTTCCCTAATTCCACAGCCATATCACCCTGCAGCCCAAGACCGGTTACTCACTGAAGCTAAGCAGGGCTGAGCCTGGTCAGTACTTGGATGGGAGACCACATGGAAAAATTAGGTTGTTGTTGCAAGTGGTGTTAGAGAGGCCAGCAGGGGCCAATCGACCTGTAGTCTGTGTCAGTCCTAGGGCCCTATCATACACCCAGTGCAATGTGGCGCTAGGCAAGGCGCAATAGTCTTTTGCTACTTTTAGCTCGGCGCAAGGGTCATTTTGAGGTGTTGCACCACACTGTTTAAATAGCAAATGCATTTGCGCTCAAATGTGCGCCCATAGGTGTTCTGGTCTAAAAAAGCAGGCGTGTTTTTGTGCGTTGCTATTTTGAGAAACTGTAAATAGTCTGTTCTTTAGACCAGAACAAAGTCGGTCTATTGTCTGGCGCAAAGTGCGCCTGGCTTAGACACTACACACAAGATGTAGAGCAATACGCAAATATCTTTACATATGAAAAAGATATAATATATTAAGGATATATATAATAAGGATATGTATAGGATATAAATATAAATGATTAAAATATTACAAAACATATTAATTTCTAGCCTACATGAATTTAAAAACCACTGACTTACTTTCTTCATCTCGGGAGGCTTTTTCAGTTCATTCAATTTGCTTTTGTATAATGTTATTATTATTAGCAGTAGTATTTATTATATCCATATTTATATTTGTTTTATTAAAAATAAGCTTAGATTTGCCCACTTGTCAGGTTTTAGACCATATGGGGCATAGCAGGTGTATATGGAAATAACTCAGTATTTTGACCACACTTCGTTATTATTGTTCATTTATTAGTTTGCTGGAAATTAGAACTCAATTTAGAAATAGTTTTGAAACAAATCTTTGTGCTTAACAAACGAAATTTATTATTTATAGGCTGATTGATGTCTGTGCGGGAAGGTTTCCCTATTCACGAGATCAAAAGCGAAATTTAACTTACTTTTGTGATATGTAAATAGCAAATCCGCTTATGGTGCGATGCAGCTGGCTCTTTAAGGGAATGGGAGATGAGATTCTGATTGGTTTATTCTCAAAACACACCTATAACTCATTAAGAAAATAAACTCAACCTTTTTAAACCATGCGCCACGGCGCAAAGCAGATTTTCCTGTCCTTAAATTAGCAAAAATGCGTTCTGACACGCCCTCAAAGTGTTTGCGCCTTGCGTTTTGCGCTCTGCGCATGGACCGTCAAAATAGACCCCCTAATGTCCCAGTAAAGTGAAGGGGACACTATAATTTCAAAGAGTGTCATCTTTCAGATGCAACGTTAAACCGAGGTCCTGACTCTCTGTGGTCATTAAAAATCCCATGGCAGTTCTCGTGAAGAGTAGGGTAACCCCGGTTTCCTGGCCAAATTCCCTCCATTGGACCTTACTGGCCTCCCAATCATCCCCATCCACCTAATTGGATCTATCACTGTCTCTCCCCTCCACCTATAGCTGGTGTGGGGTGAGCGCACTGGAGCGCACTGTAACATCCAGTGGATGCTACACACTGGTGGTGTAGAGAGACCCCCCCCCCATGACTGTGAAGCACTTTGGTTGTATGGCCATATACAAAAAATGCTCTATATAAATGCACATTACATTACATTACGTAACATAATAATGTTTAACAGAGCAATAAAATTTTCACAGTATTTCCTGTAATGTTTTTCATAGAAAGTCTCATTTGTTTTATTTCGGCTAGAATAAAAGCATTTTTTTTTATCATTTTAAGGTCAGTATTATTAGCCCCTTTAAGCTATACATTTTTTTCGATAGTCTACAGAACAAATCATTGTTTGTTTTATTTGGTTGGGGTATTTGGGGGGAGACTAATAATTCAGGAGGGCTAATAATTCTGATCTTAACAGTATATACAGTTTTTTGACTTACTCAAAAACAGACACTCTCCCTAGACTTCCAACAGCGATGCAGGGAATATCTGATGCCGGTGCAGGTCCCACACTTACTGACTGACCAAAGTACACAAGTTTCATTCCAAAATCTGATGGTGAGATTTTCTATGCAGGAAACAACAAATTGTATTAAAAAACACTTCGGCTTTATAAAATTCTTTCTGAATTTCTGGCAAAAAAGTTTTTGGTGCTATATATGAAATGCACTTCTTCAGGTCTATTTATTTTCACTTATTAAGTGAATTTGTTACACTATAAAAATAGTTTTTTTACTGTGGCTCAGTGGTTAACACAGGCACCTCACAGCAAGAAGCTCTAGCTGGGCCAGTTGGCATTTCTATGTGGAGTTTTGCATGTTCTCCCCGTGGGTTTCTTCCAGGTGCTCCAGTTTCCCCCACAGTACAAAGACATTCGCTATAGGTGAATTGAATTAGCTAAATTGGCCATAGTGTATGACTGTGTGTAAATGTGAGAGTGTGTTTCGCAGTTCTAAGTTGCAGCTGAAAAGGGATCAGTTGGCAGTTAATTCTGCTGTGGCTACTCCTGATAAATAAAGAGACTAAGCTAAAGGAAAATGAATAAATTAATGAAGTTGCATTTAAAATAATGTATCATGAAGTATTTTTACAAGAAAATACAGATTTACAAGTAACGTAACTACTATTTTTTTCATAACTACCTGCATTTTATTGGCTTCATTCTGTGAAGATCAAACAGGGAAAATGCACAAGGACTTTTTTAAAGCCAGTTCAAGAACTTCAAGTGAACTTTTATGCCATTATAAAATCCTTGCAATTAAGATCTAGTTTCTTTAAGTGGGTCTCAGACTGGATTTTACACTTGAACAACTAAATGAAGGCTTAAGTTAATTTATTATACTTTTATTAAATTATATTATCAATGCTGTAAAAGGAACCCTATGAAAACAGTCACATTTACAGTTCACCAGAAGTTTATCGGTGACTGTAAAACATGATACGTCTCGATATTCTCTCCTAACAAAAAATAAATAAATAAAATACAACGAATTACTTTACATGGGCTGCACAGTGGTGCAGTGGATAACACAACTGCCTCACAGCAAGAAGGTCACTGGTTTGAGCCTCGACTGGGTCAGTTGGCATTTCTGTGTGGAGTTTGCATGTTCTCCCCATGTTTGCGTGGGTTTCCTCTGGGTGCTCCGGTTTTCCCCACAAGTCCAAAGACAACTGGGTAAACTAAATTGGTCGTAGTGTATGTGTGTGAATGAGTGTGTATGGATGTTTCCCAGTGATGGGTTGCAGCTGGAAGGGCATCCGCTGTGTAAAACATAGGCTGGATAAGTTGTCAGTTTATTCCGCTGTGGCAACCTCAGATTAATAAAGGGACTAAGGCGAAAATAATATTACTTTACACTATTTAAAAACAAAAAGCTAAAAGTGGAAAGATTATGTGACCCAGTCTTAAACTGAATGTATTTGTGGAAAAATATAGATTTTCTTCATGCCGTAAATGATTAAATAAACATCATAAAGATATTAGTAAAATGCATTGCTATAATATATTGATAAAGTCACATTTAGAGTTCTTCAGATTAGGTACTAATATTTTGATTATGTTTAACCTTCAGATGCCAGTTGTTCAAATAGCTGTATCTCGGTCAAATATTGTTTTAACAAACCATACTCTCAGCTTTCAGGTGTATAAATCTTAATTTAATTAATTTTGCGGTCCAAGTTCACACATGCTTAAACTCACTTGTGAAAAGCGAAGACCTTCTTCGAAACCACTGTAGATGTAAACGCTTCCAGCTGAGCCTGTTTCCAGAGGAGCACCTACTGCTACATCATTAAACTTGTTGTTATCAATGTCTCCAATAGAGCCAATGGCTGCACCAAACCTGGCAAAGGTCTGTCCTGCATCACCCCGCAGCTCCACGGGCGCACGTTCAAACCTGTCCTCCTTAGAGAAAAACAAGACCGTTAGCTATTATTCATGCTAATGCAGTCACACATAAAACAATAGTCTTACTTGATTCAGTTTGTACACTAGCACTTTGCCTTCTTCCCCATTCAGATGGAAATGTGGAGCTCCAACTAATAGATGATCTGTGTGTTCATCCTTATTAATATCCAAGGCACAAAGAACCGATCCAAAGTAAGATCCAACCTAAACATCATTTATTGATTATCAAATTTACATTTGCAAACTGGGGCTTGGTTTTATTATGAATGTGTACTGTGAATGCCATTTAAAGATTTCATTTTAGTGACAAAATGTACAGTTGAAGACAAAATTATTAGCACAATTATCATTATATTGCAAAATTTTCTAATAATTTGTTTTCTCTTTGCCATGATACAGTACATATTACGGTTATATAATATTGTACTAGTAATTTAGTAAGATATTCACTGTAGTGCAGTTTAAAGACTTAAACAGGCTTTTTAGATTTACTAGAGAAGCTTATTTAATAGGTCATTGGACATTAAGGTTGGAAAATAATGACAAATAATTCAAATGTCATTGGAGGATTAAGTTTTTGTCATTAACTGTGTATATATAAAATAAAACCATTTGAAAATGAAAGTAGTCGGATATGTTAATAATAATTAACTACAAATACCTGATCTCCGTGAAGCACATACTTTTCTAAGCCATCAAATATGAATACTGCACCAGTCAAATTATACCGTGGTGCACCAGAAATGTAGAGAGTCTTAGAGGGCAAATGAGCTGAAGTGACACTGTAACCTGTGATCAGAAAAGAGATTCAACAATTATGTACTTTCATTTACTTTCAAATAGATTAATTTCATTTATTTAGATCAGTGGTCACCAAACTTGTTCCTGGAGGGCCGGTGTCCTGCACATTTTAGCTCCAACCCTAATCAAACACACCTGAACAAGCTAATCAAGGTCTTGCTAGGTATACTTGAAACATCCAGGCAGGTGTGTTGAGGCAACTTTATATATGTATGTATATATATATATATATTTGAACATTTTTAATAAAATAAAAAACAAACTTCTAAACTTATGTATCTTTAAACTAAATATGTTATGTTTTTTTGCATGTTTGGATGAATTGCATTATAAAGAAAACATATAACCATAAATCATAGTTATGAGGAATGAGATGAAACAAAAATATTTGATTTCTTAATTGTCTTTAAAGGTCCCTTGAAATTAAAAAGGTTTTTTGATGCTAGTATCAGTATTGTTAGTTTTTAAGATATCTATTAGCTAGTGTGCCCCAAAACAGTGACAAAAGTCACATTTAGAAGATAACACTGATATAAACATGTCACATCATACCTCATATTTACATAACCTCATCGTCAGTTTCTCCTTAAGTCATAATTAATCAAATGCTCTCTAGTATCTGATATGCCCCACCCCCTTCAAGACGCTTTTCATTTGCTTTTTATTTGATGCGATTGAGCTCAACCCCTCTCACTGGCTGAGCGGTGATTAAAAAAATAAAATAAAGGGGAGGAGCTACAAAAATGCACATTTCAAAGCACCTCACAGGACCTTTAACTTTTATTTTAATGAACAGAATTGGGAATAAAAGATTTCTAATGTTAAGAATACATTTAGATTTTAATGGCGACAAAAACATTGGGATAAAGGCATGTTTAACAGTGTTTCACATCATCTTTACTTTTGAGAACATTAAGAGAACATCTTTACTCTCAATCACTTGGGAATAGTATATTATCACTCACCTAAATATCCAAATTTGGTTTCATTGTGAGAATCATTCAAGAATTTAACCGTGTTGCCGGATTTCAAAAAGACCCCACCACTCCAGTCATAAGCTCCAACAGCTCCAAATAGTGCTTCAACCTTCTGCTCCTGTACAAAAACAAAACAATGTTAACAGTATGTGAATCATCATGAAAAGACGCTGCGGATATAAATATACTATATAACACAAGATTTAACATACAGTGTCAGAAAGAAAGAGTACAAGTTCATGATGAAAACAAACCAGAAAGTCTTTTGAAACGATCATACTTACGTTGTATAAGAGATGGGAGCTGAATCCAGCTTCAGCGAGCTGTAATTTAAATCCATGCTGAGTGCCTGACACACAAAGTTTATTAACAAACAATAATGATACAGTGACTATTCAATTACAAATATCATCTCAAGTCATGTGAAATGTGAGAGGCTATTGCCCATGTGTGCACTCTAGACAGGTATTCAGTTTGCACTGTAGTTGTTGGGATTTTTTTTTTCGTGGCTATAAGGGTTATTATTCAGTGTAATTTGTACATTTCATACCTTCAGTTCCAATTATCCCTCTTTCCAGTGAGGACAGAATATCATTTAATGCGCCATAACTGGAAACACTATAATACTTTCCAGGATCTGCTATTTGCGTCATCTCTTTGATTGCATCCTTGTTTTTCAGGATGCCATCGCCAACCTAAAGGTAACATGAGGATGTAAGTGTATGGAACTTATTATACATTTTTAATTACAATTGCAATTAACTACAAAGTAGCTTATGAGTGTTTAAGCAAGACTTAAAGTGAACCAGAGTTATCTATGATGACGTTTTTTGCAGTTAAAAATGGGACACTTACCCCTATGGAGTAGCGAGTGACACCTTTCATTTGGGTCTTGTTCAAAACTTCATCAAGAGTCATAGGGTCTCCCAGAATCTTTCCATCAGACAAGACGATTATTATTTTTTCAGAGTTATTTTTTGATCCATTCTCAGGGATGAAGATATCTGTGCTGTAATCAAATACAACAATGTGAAATCACACCATTACTCATCTCCAAATGCTTTAAAAATAGTTTGTAGACTCACAGGACGTGATTGATGGCAGAGGCCGTCTTTGTGAGATTGTAAATTTGCTTTATTTGTTTGACCTTTTGCAGGGATCTGGCACCATCCTCATTGTCTAGAAGCGAGAGTTCAGTCCTGATCGAGCTACCATATTGCACTATTGCAAAATTACACTGCAGAGAGAAGAGAGGTTAATGTAAAATGACATTTCAATTATAATTTTGTATTATGAAATTCTTTTTTTTTTAAATACTTGCATCAAAACATGTTTTCCAAACATTGGACATGGTGGTGTGGATGAAGTCTTTCGCTTTCTCAAAGTCATCATACTGAATGCTGCCAGAACCATCTAGAACGAAAGCAATCTCTGTCCCAGGATCTAAAAAAGATGTTCTGAAACTTCAGTACTGAAACTATTGCTTTATTTAATTTAACACTTGTAAAAACAACTACCAGTGAATTCGGATAATATTATATTTTAAGGTGTATAAAGGTCACTTCTCACCCCAGAGTTTCTCTTTTCCTGTGTATTGTTATTTATCTATTACTTTATTGTATTTATTTTATTTTATTCATTTTTTTAATGTATTTTCATTTAATGCAAACCCTGGCTTGTTTTTAGTTGTTGCTAGCTATGTATGCTGGCTTTGTTTTGCAATAAATAAATAATCACCAAAAAATTATACCTTCTTCCTCTTCCTCCTCCTCCTCTAATGCGCCAAGATTCGGTTGCGCTTCTCTTCTCTTCCTCCATTTAACTTGCAGATATTGACAGAAATGTAAATTAGCAGAGCAGAATATACATGTAAATTAGCCTTCCTGGTTCAATCTGGCAAATTTTATATGTTCTTTTACCCCCATAAATTATGAATGCTCATTATCATAAATGAATTTAACATTATCAACATTTTCCTTAAGACAGTCTCACCTTGATCGATCCTTCCACCTCTGTATTTGTTGTTGTTGTTGTTGTTGTTGTTGTTGTCCATGTTGTTGTCTTGGAAAAAGAGATTTAGGAATTTCAGGTATAAGATTTTATCTTGTTGAATGTGAAGACCCCATAATAAATGAACCAAACATACCTAATTCAGCAGGAGATAGCTTGACTTTTCCAGAAGGACTCATAAGTGTGCAATTTCCATTCAAATACTCAGTTCCTCTGATCTTTGTTCTAACTTGATTACACATCTTGAAAGAGGAAAACAAAAACTCAATTACAGTTATTTCACTCAAGTCATTTACTTTCATATTCGACTAAAATAAATATTAAACAGTAGATATAGAGGACTTTTTTTTCTTTTTTTACATTTCAAATTTTTAATGAGGAAGTGCTGTCACTATGGTTTCTAATGATGTCACGGTTATGACTCAAAACATTGATGACTTCCTCATGATAGTCACATCATCCTGAACAATTTCCCAACGTCTCAACAAATAAAACCAATAACATTCCCCTGAAATAACATTTTCTCATTTTAGTTTACGTTACACGCACTATTTTTCCTGCTTTCAAAACGACTGTTTCCTGTACTGTGAACGAGAACTGATACATTTCAGTCTGTCACGTATGTGAAGAGGAAACCACACTTTGTGGTTTTACTGAAAAAAATGCTTTGCGACAGACACAAAACCTTGCGAACGCTATCTGATAATGCACAGTTTACTTCTCATTTGGTATATTTCAGTAGCTAAACCTTTTGCAAGTAAAATCTCATATTATAAGTAAGTTGTCCCCCAATTATATAAGACCTCCTAGTGTTTGTACATACCACAACATGTTGGTCTTGTGATGTCAGGCTAGCCACTGATGCTACTTGTCTCATGCCTTTTGGGTTCTCATCTTTAAAAGAGACATTCATGTAAAACATTATTTCATGTACTGGAAGTTAGTTCAAAATTAAAAAAAATTAATTCTGTCATCATTTTTTTTTCACTCGTTCCAAACCTGTTTGAGGTTTTTTTCAGTTGAGCACAAAGGAAGAGATACTGAAGTATGTTTGACACAGCAACCATTAAACAGCAGCTTTTTTTACAGTATTCTTCGCTAATGTATATATCCTTGTGTTCAACAGAAGAAATTCATAACAGTTATGAGTGTGAATAAATGATGAGGGAATTGTGATTTTTTTTAAGTGAACCATTTATTAAATTTCATAAATCAGTGATAACATTATTATTATATTAACAAAGTTTACTACATATTATATATTATAAAAAAAGCTAAGATAAACTTACCGCTAATGTTTACTTTGGAGCATTCATTGTCTAGAGTACACTCAAAAAGGCCTCCATATATCGGGGAGGGAACAAAAATCCTAGAACAGAACAAAGCAGTAACATGTTACTGAAACAGAACACATCTAAAATAAAATTAAATAAAAGTATATGTTTAGAATTACCAACCCATCTTTTGACTGAATGATGGTTTGGCCAAAGAGTGGATCCTCATTGGTAAAATGTTTCAGTGGAGATATCTGAACGTTAAACCCGGTTGCATTGCACAATACTGTAAAACACCAAATAATGAGTGGAAACACAATTCAGAACAAAGCAGCAAAGATTAATTTCATTTATTATGATTTAATCAGCTATTTTTTACCTATTAGTTTAAAACAAACAAAATGTTGTAAAACAATCTATCACAAACACAAATATAGATATTTAACCCTGTAAATGAATACATACCCATCATAAATAGCAGTTTTCTGTACATTGTGTGAAATTAATCAATATCCGCTTTAAAAAAAACACATCGGCACATCGAGACACAAAGCAGCTCGTTGTGGTCTTGAGAAAGTAGAACAGCACACATGCACTGCTGACTGTTAAACCCTCCCCTTCCACACACTTGCTTCTCTCGTGGGAAGCTGAATTCAAAATGATTCGATTATCAGGCTAAAATTTGAAAACATCTTTATTTTTAAAAACTGTTTTGATTTAGTAATAGGGAATAGTTCACACAAAAGTTACAATTCTGTCATCATTTTCTCTCCCTTCACTTGTTTTAAATCGGTTTGAGTTTCTTTTTCTCTTGAACATAAAAGGTTTATTTTTTTACCACACTTCACCACCGGGTATCATAGAGTTTCAATCAGTGACCATAAAAGAGAATCCCCGATTACCGTGTATGTTTTGAAGAATATGAAATATTCATTCATTCATTCATTCATTCATTCATTCATTCATTCATTCATACATTCATTCATTTAAAAAGATGTCTAACAGATGTCTAATAGACGTCTAAACAGTCGTCTTGGCTAAAACAAGGCTAAATTTGGGCTGTCAGTGAAAACCTATTAGACGTCTTATGAATAGGCCAAAACTAGTCATCAAATAGACAGAAATGAATGACTACACACATAAAGTCTGTCTAATCTGTCTATTTGACGACTAGTCTAGTTTTTGGCTGTTCTTAGACTTCTATTAGATTTTCATTGCCTTGTTTTAGCCTTGCTTTAGTCTACGTTTAGATGTCTTAAACACGAAATTATTTTGCTGGGTAGACAATGTTTTTTGAAGAACACTTTTGTCTTCCTTGCTTTAGTAGAACTGCGGCCTTAGAAAAGTGAGATGCCTATTTATAATCTTGCCTGCTATCAAGTACTCAGTAGTTTGCAAAGGTTATATACCGCAATATCAGAGAAAACATCTGACTTTGCCTCAGGATGTGGTGTGCATAAAAACCTGCAACTAATTCACCATCAGCCCTCGGTTTTTAAACTGACCTCAAAGTTTTTTTAAATGACTTAGCTCAATAATGATTATAACTAGTTATGGCATTGAAAGAGCGCTGAAAACAGACTGACCACCGCTGGGACTTTTCACTGTGTTTGCTGATTGCAGACTGCCAGTGACTTGCTGTTACTCACATTATTACGAATTGAAGGTGTCCATTGGTGCATATGTAACGGAGGCCAGCTAGTGTGTGCTGTGCAGGTAAACCTCACTCCTCTGACTTCTAAAGGTGCTCTAGCGATAAACGCTAGAGGCCATGGTCTTTAGACTCCTTGGTAGAGCAACAGACTCCCATGCAGAAGATCGCTGGTTCGATACCAGCTTGCAGCGGGTTGGGTGGTGTAGGACCGGCGGGGTTACATTGGTGCCGTGACCTGGATGGGAGTGAGGTTTAGCGGGGTGAGTGTAGTGAAGGCCAGCCGTAAGGGGCTGTGCAGGTACACCTCACTCCTCTGACCTCTAAAGGTGCTCTAGCGACAGATGCTAAAGGGCCTGGTCTTTAGCCTCCTTGGTAGAGCAACCGACTCCCATGTGGAAGGTCACCGGTTTAATCCCAGCTTGGAGCGGGTTGGGCGTTGTAGGACCGGTGGGGTTATACATATACAGTTTTTCCTGCACTGTTGATTGGAGAAGGGTTTATTTCCCATTTAGACTTAATTAAAGGAGCCGTCTAATAAGTTTTTGAAGCAGTAATTGTGTTTATGGGATGCACATTAACATGTGTTGATGCTTCACTGTAAATAAAAAAAAACATTGTTTTTCACATATTTGCACATCTTGTACACTGCTTTTCAATTAGCATCAAAGCAGCTGACTTATTTCCTGGCTCTAAAAAGACCCTGCCTCAGTGGATTCTGATTGATTTGCTGACTGTATATGTTGTGATTTGCTGATCGGTGCTTGTTATCCAGAAATGTCACACCTCCAACCACAGTGGGGTTCATGCCCAAATTTGTATTACACTTGCATAGATTAGGTTACCTTTTTTATTGAACTATTTTCTAGCTATTTTTAAAAACTATTTTAACTGTTATCACCATGAATATATGCTGAAATGGCAATTACAGTTAATCCATACACAGAAAGGCAAATATTTTTCTTTTGAACAGGTCTGTCTTACAAACAAGTTGGGGAAGTGACAAATCTGCATCTTCAATTAAGAAAACCTGCACTGTAAAACCCAACAGTCCACTTTATCAAATGAAATGAGTGTAGTTAACTCAAGATTGACTGAAAGTTAATTTTACTCAATTGAAAAGAGTTTTGAACTCAGTATTGAAGGTAATTAGTTAATTAAATATCTCATCACTTTAACTCAAATGGAGTAAGTTTACAGTACTCATAGATTAGGTTCCTAACTCAAATGGTTTGTAGCAATCGGTTTCCGCAAACGGTTTGAGTTGCCTTAACTTGATGAGTTTTACAATACTCAGTTGGTTTGAGTTCTCTTCATTTATTGAGTTTTACTCTCCCCAAATTGCTTCTTTTACTCAAATGGATTAAGTTCACAGTACTCATTAGGATTCATTTTTGAACTTAAATGATTTGTTGCAATCAATTTCCTCAAATGGTTTGAGTTACCTTAACCTATTGGGTTTTACAGTGTACCTTTTTTTTTGCTATGAGTGGACACCAGCGTAAACCCGCACTGACACAGGAAGAACATGCAGTCACCACACAAAAAGGCATCCTGTCCTTGTCAGGAATCGATTTCAGATCCTGCTGTGAGACAACAGTGATTGCCACCGAGCCATTGTGTCACTTCTCTCAAACTGTGAAAGCTGTCCTCTGTAAAATGTTGAGCATTGGAGCTGGATATTTGTTTTCTAATGTTCTAAATTGAGGTAAAAATAAAATGTACAGGATTCCAACGCTACTTAAAAGTACTTTAATTTCAGACACAAAAAAAATGTGGTGGGGTGGCGAAAAAAACCAACTTAAAATTAGAATAACAAAGTAGATTTCACCGACTTGGTCCCAGTCATTCCCCTCGCAGGCCAGCAGATGTCTTCTTCACTGGACTATTGAACACTACATCTCCCACAAACCCATTCAGCTAGCTGATTAAACTGCACCTGACTCTTGTTACTCCAGCACACACACACACATACACACACACACACACACACACACACACACACACACACATAAAAGCAGCTCTCGCTCTCACTTCATTGCGAAGTCTTGTTCTGCCCTGCTGACTGAGCGTTACTTACCCTTGCCTGATCTCCTGTTGCCAACCCGGATTGTCCTCGACCTTGTCTTGCCTGTCGCCTGCCTTGATTACCTGACTGTCTTACCGATCTTGCATCTCGCTGCCTGCCCCTGACCCATGCCTACTCTGATACACGAATGTCAGTTGCCTGCCTATCGACCCTATAAGCCTGTGATTCATGTGATTTCATGCACCAGTGCATACTGTATGTTTGTTAATAAACTGTGTTTAATAACGTACAGCAAATGGATCCCTCTGTGTCAGCCTCCTGGTTACAGTAGAATAACAGACATTAAATTACAGAAATTTACTGTAAAATAATGGTCGGTAAATTACAGAAACTTACCGTAGAATAATGGACATTTACTTACAGAAATTTACCATGGAATAACCGACGTTAAACTACAGAAATTTGCTGTAGAATAACTGACATTAAATTCCAAAAATTTACCGTAGAATAATGGACGTTAACTTGCAGAAATTTACCATAGAATAACAGATGTTAAATGACAGAAATTTACCATAGAATAACAGATGTTAAAATACAGAAATTTACAGTAGAATAACAGGCGTTAAATTATCGAAATTTACCAGAGAATAGCGGTCGTTAAATTACAGAAATTTACCATAAAATAACAAACAGTAAGTTGCAAAAGTTTACTATAGAATAACGTACGTTAAACTAAAGAAATTTACTGTTGAATAACGTACATTAAATTACAGAAATTTACCATTATATAACGGCCGTAAAATTACAGAAATTTACTGTTGAATAACGTACATTAAATTACAGAAATTTACCATTATCTAATGGCCGTTAAATTACAGAAATTTACTGTTATATCAGGGTCGTTAAATTACAGAATTTTACCGTTATATAACAGTCGTTTAATTACAGAAATCTCCTTAAAGGGATGGTCCGCAATGTAATTTTAAGGCTTGGTTGTGTTTATAAGATGCAAAGCAATGTGTGTTCATGTTTTACCTGAAGGAAATTGCGTAATTTTTTCATATATCTCACTTTGATTATACACAGCTACTCAGCTAACATGAAAACGACTGTCATATTTCCTAGTTCCTCTAAAAGCCCCGCCCTTAAGTGACTCTGATTGGTCATCGTTATAATGTGCTGCGATTGGCAAATCGGGTCCACGTCATGCACGTAAAAGCACACGCTTTTCTGCTGTGTAAACCTCAGTCAACCTTCTGCCTGCTATCTATAATAAAATCTGACAAGTGTCTGTAACGAGTGAAAATGGGGTGCGGCTCCTTTAATAGCGTTTGCGTGTGCGTGTATGTGTGGTGTGAATGTTGTCTCCATCTGTGTCTGTGTTTGTGTATTTGTGTGTGTGTGTGTGTGTGTGTGTGAATGTGTGAACTTTCTGTAACAAGCGCATGTGCGTGGGACTTTCTTTTTCTCTAATGCTTGGATTAAGTTATTTTCTGTAATATATCGTGACAGAAGAATAAAGCACAAGATGTGGGACGCTACCTGTTTGAGCCTGGATTTATTTTTCTGCTGCTAGCACTGTATTTTTTTAACTCAATGCGTAACACAACGTCTTTCACGTGTATCCGGAATATGCACGTGTAACTAATATAAATCATCCACATATCTTTTGTGACTTCATTATCTGAGATGTGAAACGCATGGAAAAGCTGCCTGAAGACAATCAGTGCAGTCACGCACGCACACACATAAGAGTGTTGGTGGAGTGTGTGTATGTTTACAGCAGTTTGACTGATAAATATGAATTTGTAGCTAAATCGTTTGCCCGCAAAGCAGCATTTCCCATTGTTTACATCGTTGCTACAGCTTACCGTTAACGCTAGACTCTGTACATGTCATGATCAATTTTGAGGAGATTTTAGCCGAATCCAGCACTGAACTTGGTGAGATTCTGGAGATGTGTTTTGTCAAATCATGCTTGCTGTGTATTTTATAATTTTCTGGAACATAATTAATATTGAACACTAAGCACTTCTGTCTTTGTGTCGTGTCCTTTGGAAGCCCAAATACAGAAACAGACGAAGCTCTGTGGAAGCAGCAGTGTTTAGACGCATTTTTAGTGTCATCTCTCCTATAACGTTACAGCGCCTCTGGCCATGTCTCTTACCTGCTCGATTTGGATGCGCAGTAACGAACTTTTGTGATCTCACAGGGGGCGTAAGTATTTTTTGTAGTCCCCATAATTCGTTCATTGTAGGCTTTGCTAAGCTAACTCTGTCAAAATCAATGTCTCCCTTTGCATTGAACTTTGAGCATTTTACATTCAGAGTTGTTGTTGAGGTTCACACAGCTACATTACACATCAACTAAAGTTTAAAATATGATATCATAGTGGACAACCCTTTTAAATTTATATTTTTGGTAAGTTTCTGTCATTTCACGTCTATTATTTTATGGTAAATTTCTGCAATTTAGCGGCCGTTATTTTTTACAGTGTACTTGAAAACATGCAGATGTGTGTGAGAGCTGTTCACTCTTATAGATATGGGTTTTTAAATAATGTTTTTTTCTGTGAGGTCATTAAACACAATAAACAAGGAATCGCAACCTTTGTGCTTTGCTCGTATATAAAAAAATCAGCTTTTAAATTCTGTCAGTTTTGCTACAGAATAAAAAAAAGACAGTAAATGCTGCCATCTTACTATTAACATATCGTTTGATGAAAGATCATTGATGAAAGAAACTGTCATTAAAATCTCTGCATTCAGCTTGTAAATAACATTATAAACTTAGAGAAGCCATAATGTCCATAAATCAACTGGAAATGGTCCCTAGAAAACATTTTGCTTAATGAAATAATTGCATAGAAATGTTTTTTTTCTTCTCTATTTAGGAAATACACAAATACATCAGTGATGAAAGCCACTTTTATTAGAGCCACAATTTAAATGGGTAACACTTTACAATAAGGTTCATTAGTTAATGCATTTACTAACATGAACTAATCATGAACAACACATGTACAGCATTTATTAATCATAATTGAACATTTACTAATGCATTATTAACATCCAAGTCCATGCTTGTCAACATTAGTTAATGCACCACGAGTTAACATGAACTAACAATGAACAACTGTATTTTCATTAACTAACGTTAACTAACATGAACAAATACAGTAGCAAATGTATTGTTCATTGTTTGTTCCTGTTAGTAAATGCATTAATTAACATTAACTAATGAACCTTATTGTAAAGTGTGACCTTTTAAATGTTTATATTAAACACAAATGAGGTAAAAACAGAATGTTGCTATTTTAAAACTGCTATGTTATCTTACATTCAAAATGTTTATATAACCTGGTTAATAAAATCTATTCACAATTTTCTAAAAATATAAAAATATTAATTATATCAGTTTTTGTTACTGTTAAGCTGTACTTTAAGGAAAAAAATCTAAACATTCACAAGCTTGTCTCTGATTCGTGGACAGCCTGGAGTGTGGAGCAGAGCTGAATCTGATTTCTCTGGGTTAGGAGGCATAGGGTTAGGAGGCTCTAGGTCAGTAGGCACCAGTGGTTCAGGCAACCTTGGTGGGTCAGCAGGCTCTTGTGGCAGTGGCAAGCAGCGACATCGAAGATTCTTGCAGCTGTGGTTCTGGCAGTGGTGAAAGCTGTAAAAAGATACAATAAGAATGCAGTCTGGGAGGTCTGAGTAGTTGGCAATGTTCAAAAACTTACACATATGGTCCTCGAGGGTGTATGGCCCTTGGCTTAGATGCACTAGTTGATCTGCAGGACCGTTGTTGTGACAGAGTCTCCTGTAGTAAAGGGATGGTGACAACAAGGGTAGGATCCAAATGCAGTTTTAATCAAGTGTCAGGCAGGCAAGGTTCAATACAAGACCAAACAGTAATATACAGATAACCCAAATGGGTAAACATAGGGGTCGAGGCAGGTGGTCAAGCACATCGAAGTATAACAAGAGCTGAATGGAAACTAGTGTGTGACTGCAGGGCATGATGGGATATGTAGTTCTGTTCAGTGGCAGATGTGATGTGTAGAGTGTCCTCTAGTGTATCTGGAGAGAACTCTACTTGGTCAACATGACAAAGAGCCACAATGTATTCTTTTTCTGTGATACAAAGGGTACTATTCAGTGTAATGTGTACATTTCATACCTTCAGTTCCAATTATCTCTCTTTCCAGTGAGGACAGAATATCATTTAATGCGCCATAACTGGAAACACTATAATACTTTCCAGGATCTGCTATTTGCATCATCTCTTTGACTGCATTAGGTTTTTTCAGGATGCCATCGCCAACCTAAAGGTAACATGAGGATGTAAGTGTATGGAATTTATGATACATTTTTAATTACAATTGCAATTAACTACAAAATAGCTTAAAAGTGTTTAAGCAGGACTTGAATTGAACCAGAGTTATCTATGATTACAGATGACCTTTTTGCAGTTGTTGCTCCAACATTGAATGTAAAATTAGTATTATCCAATACAATCTCAATACAATTCGTAACTACTGATGTAGTGGCTAGAATTTAAATTTGTGCAATCTCTTTCCTACATTTTAGTCAGACTGCTCATCCCCAATGACAGTTTGGTTTGGGTGTGGAGTTTAGGGACAGGCCTTCTTTTAAAAATTTTACATTTTTATCTTACTGAAATTGTATAAATTTGTATAAATTTTCCTATTTTTCGACAATACATAAAACAGTTATGTTTTTCTCTTGATGTTTTCAGGCTGGATTAACTTAAATTACTCTTAACTTGGCAGTATATGGGACACTTACCCCTATGGAGTAGCGAGTGACACCTTTCATTTGGGGCTTGTTCAAAACTTCATCAAGAGTCATAGGGTCTTCCAGAATCTCTCCATCAGACAAGACGATTATTATTTTTGCAGTGTTATTTTTTGATCCCTTCTCAGGGATGAAGATATCTGTGCTGTAATCAACCACAACATTGTAAAATCACACCATTAAGTCATCTCCAAATGCTGTAAAAATTGTTTGTAGACTCACAGGACGTGATTGATGGCAGAGGCCGTCTTTGTGAGATTGTAAATTTGCTTTATTTGTTTGACCTTTAGCAAGGATCCCGCGCGATCCTCATTGTCTAGTAACAAGAGTTCAGTTCTGATCAAACTACCGTATTGCACTATTGCAAAATTACACTGCAGAGAGAAGAGGGGTTAATGTAAAGTTAATATCAATTGAATTGTATTTTGTGCCATGATTTTTTTTCTTTATACTTGCATCGAAACATGTTTTCCAAACATTGGACATGACATTGTAGATAAAGTCTTTCGCTTTCTGAAAGTCATCATCTTGAATGCTGCCAGAGCCATCCAGAACGAAAGCAATCTCTGTCCCAGGATCTAAGAAAGATGTTTTGAAACTTTAGTACTGAAACTAATAATATACAGTATATATATCTTTGCCCACATACTGTTCCGCAACAAGCAAAGGACACTCTACAGTTTAACAAATATTGCTGCTGTTACACAACATAATGTACCTTTCAGGGTTTTTTTAGTGGAGAATGTAGTGGTTTAGGTTGCAATTATGCAGTTTATTTCTAAGGATAGTGCCTATTTTTGATATTTTTAATTTCTGAGAGACACTCCGTTGGCGCCAGGCCATTCGCGTGTCATTGAGTGGAGCAAAGACGGTTGACATTGTTCATCCACAAGATTATGATAGAGACAGCATAATAAGCCCTTAGAAGAAAAAACTACATAATTTCTAACTACAGCTGATCAAATCATTATTAAACAGGTAAGTGAAACTCTATGTCGATCTTTCTCTTTTGTATGTTGTAGTGCTGCATTTAAAACTTGTTAATTGTAGTGTATTGAGCGTGAGATGGGACTTGCATATCAGGAATCTGTATGTATTTTGCATTGGCCACTCTTTGTATAACCTTGAGTTACTTTTTGGTTGGCCTACTGTTTGTTTCTAATGAGTCTTCCGTTTTCTTTAGCTCAGTAAAAAAAAAAAGAAAGAAGAAATGCCCTCGTGTTCCTTTTCGCAAACACAACAGTAATCTGTTAGTGTTTGATTTGTTTTTTTTCAGGGATAAATATTGTGATATCCTGCTTTCAACAGAGAAATACTGAGAAAGTTCCTCGTATAAAAGAATTTTGAGACTCTTGTGTTTGATTTTCTTTTTTGTACACATGATTACACCGTCAAATACTGTTGTGTAAATGTTATATCACAGTCGCAGCAATGCTATGTAGCAGTATATTGTCAATGGGGGACACTAAGGTACTCGGCCTGCAGCCTTGAGCCATCGCACACCTCCTGCCAATGCTGATTTACAGCCACATCGCACCGCTACAAGTGTGATACTGCTCAAATATATAAATATATATATGACAGAAATGCAAATTAGTCATCCTGGCTCATTCTGACACATTTTATGTTCTTTCCTCTCCATAAATTATTAATGCACATTATCAGGCAGGCAAGGTTCAATACAAGAACAAACAGTAATATGCAGATAATCCAAATGAGTAAATAGCCGCGTTTTCACTATCACGTCTAAAGCGAGCAAGCCAGAGCCAGTCGCGTTTCCACTGTCACTTCCGGGGCCTGATCGGGCCAAAACGGGGCTTTCTCGGGGCCAGCGGCCAGCCTATTTCGGCCCGCCGAATACCTTGGGCCAAAGAGGGCCAGCTGGGGCTTCGGGGCGGAGTGAAAAGACAGGCGGAGTTTGCCCGAGTCTGTTAAAGATGGCGTGCCATCATTACACTAGTATTCCTATCGCACACGACTACATGCGGCAAACAAATAAATTAATAAGGGAAAGAAAACATATAGCTGGTCAGCTTTAGACAATTTAGGATGCTTGACAGCTCTGTTGATGCCTTGACCAGCTTTTTTCTTTTTAACTTTATTTTGGAGATAATAAACAATATGAATACAACATTAAACTTTTACAAAAGTGTCCACTTTTAGTGGCTTAAAACAATAGTGTCATATCTCGATAAAATAGCCTAAGCTAGCCTATATTGAATTAGTTTAAAGAATTACAAATATCGGACATTAAAAAATTACATTAAATAAATCCACCAATATAAAACAAACAAAAGCTAGCTATAACAATGTAGGTAAATACAATACATAAATTAAACCGTTTTAAGCCATATATAACTTTAATTTTAAAAAGACCTAGCCTAATAAAATTTAGCCATATTTGTTGCGCTCAGCAGCTATTCACTAAAGCTCTTCATTTAAAGTTTCATTTATAAATTTGACCACATCATATAAAAACATAAACACTTGTTTGAGGATATAGAACACATTTTGTGTTCGGACTTTTCCCAGATGCGTTTAAAGCGGCACTGCGCAGGACTGAGTGACAGAAAAAAAGGTAGGCTAGATTATGCTTTTACACTCCCCAAAAAGGCTCTGTTTGCACGATTGGATTAATATCATCGTATCCAAATACTTTATAAATAATATTTTAAACCTTCGCTGGTGTTTATTGTTTTTAGAAAATATCTAAAATCTTTTTTTTTTTCAGATTGCTCTTATCTGCTGAATCACTTAACACAACGTCTATCAAAACAAGGATGTTATAAAATACACTTCATACCGAGTTATCACCGGAGAATTTCTGTGGCTTTATATTATGGATGGTGCGCTCACTGTGCTGGGTCCCTCCGTTAGTGTCGAGACTACTTGATGCACGATACCAACAGTCGTTCAGTGAGTAAACAACTATAATGAATGGAAATACACAGACCTGTGCGTATAGACATATAATGTAATGCTGTACAGTAACATGTAATTTGTTTGTTTCAGTTGTCTTAATTTTAATGGTTTCCTGATGATTCGATGGTCTGCTTTATCTGTCTGATTCCTGCTGAAGAGGGCGGGTTGTGTGACGTTTTGATTCGGGGGATGTTCTGGGGGCGGGGTTTGCATGACGTGATGCTACTAGCCTGACAGTGGAAACGCGACATGATTTCGGCCTCACTACTCAACCGTCCGAGCGATTGGCCCGCCCCGGCCCGATAAAAGCCCTGGCTCACACTAGCCCAACAGTGGAAATGCGGCTAATGTAGTAACATGCATAGTGGTTGAGGCAGGTAGCAAAACAAGAATAAACATTAAACAAAGAAATGGTCAAAAACGGCAAGGCAAGTTTTGTAAAGCTGAAGTATACCATAACTCAGCACTGTGTGTGTGTATGTGTGTGTGTGTGTGTGTGTGTGTGTAATCAAGTGTGTAATCAGTGTGTGACTACATGGCATGATGGGATATGTAGTTCTGTTCAGTGGCAGATGTAATGTGTAGAGTGCCCTCTAGTCTTGGTCACCTTGACAAAGAGCCACTACGTATTCTTCTTTTTCTGTGACAAAGGGCTCTGTGACATTCAGTGTAATGTGTAAATTCTGTACCTTTAGTTCCAATTATCCCTCTTTCCAGCGAGGACACAATATCGTTTAATGCCCTATAACTGGAAACATTATAATACTTTCCAGGATCTGCTATTTGCATCATCTCTTCGGTTGCATCAAGGTTTTTCAGGATGCCATCGCCAACCTAAAGGTAACATGAGGTTGTTTCAAGTATATGGAAGTTCTACAGTTGCAATTAATTACAAAATAGCTTATGAGTGTTTAGCCTTATAAAGCCGCAGGTATCACATTTGATACACGAGTTTCTAAGACCTATATAATACCAACCTGATCTTTGATTCTTTGTTTAGAAACCTGTTGTATATGATTTGATACTTGTATTCTCTCCCCTTCTGGATTTTCATGACACCGCAGGCCATGGAAGGGATTTTTTATCTTTTCAAAATGGCTACTTTCATTGAATTAGATGCTTTTAAGCTAAAAACTATTTGCTAATTTCAAGTTGTTATAGTAAAAATAAAATGTATATTGTTTCTAATTTTATTAAATAAAGGCTTTCTTGATTGAAACAAAGCATAATTACTTAATAATTAATTTATTTTGTTGCAAACAAATTGTGTTAAAAACGTATCAAATTTAATACAACAGGTATAAAAGCAGCTTTATTTCTGAACAGTCATGTCACGTTTTTGTAATGTAATCAATATAATGCCTACTGCAATGCAAATACAATGTTTTTGGATGATTAAATTTAATATAATAAGTGACATACATTGTGGGCATTTTTACAATAATTTATAATTAATAAACTATATGATCAATTTTGTGTATTTTTAGAAAAAATAGAGGAAGATTACAGATGGTAGAAAAATTAAAGTGTCTTGAAAATGTCATCAGCATAATAGTCTATGGCAATTAAAGTGACAGAGAGAAGTTAGGGGGACTCCTCGGACGATGCATGATGATGGTCATTCAGACAGCAGTGATGAGGAAGATTATCAAGAAGAAAGTGTTGTCTAGACAAGCACAGAAGTAAAGGTCCCAACTACACAAACACATTACACAGTCAAGAATAGAGATGGAAAAAATACAATATCATGGTAAATTTGTTGAGTTCATTGCATCTGCTGAGGAAGGCACAGAGGACTCATACCGACTGCTTTCTGACTGTGTCCTGTGTTTGTATTGTTGGGACCTCATCTTTTTTTTTGGACTAAACTTTTTTCCTGATAATCTTTCTCATCACAGCTGTCTGAAAGCCCCTTATTATGCATGGTCTGAGGACTCCATCCCTCCTCAACACCTATCTGCTCTATAGCACTTTATTTGCCATCTATTATTATGGACTCTGGACTCAGTATTGTAATAGTTTGCCACTGACGAAATGCTACAGGACACTGGAGAACAAATAAACCTGTACAGTATATTCAAAGATGGCAAGTCTATAAACACTGATGCCAAAGAGATTGAGAAATTCCTAGGCATGTACATGAACATGCACCCCATAAAAGGTCAAGCTGTGGTGTGCCTTTTAATGTTAGAAGGCATGATCCTTATCATTTTCCAACATAGAGAAACCTGATAGAGATTAAAAAAAAAACTGCACCAGCAATGACTTCTCAGTTCTGTGTACTGTGTAAATGTAAAGTGCATCTTTGCCTGAACAAGAGATGAAACTACTAGTACGCCTACCACAAAGTGAAATAACAAAAAGTAAAATGCTTAATGTAACAACAAATAATGAGATAAACTGTCTGAAATGATCTCTTTTGTCAAAATGTTAAAAGCAAAATAATTTTTTTGTAATTAAAATTATTATTGTTTTGAACAAAAAGTTGCACAAATACCCAATGTGTCAAATTTGATACAAAATAAATATCATGAAAAAATGTATATGGCAATTTTTTTTTTGTTTAATAAACATTCAAGTTCCAGAAAATTCAAATTTTCTGACTGTTTTTTATATGTCAAGTCTTACAGGAGTGAACGTTTGAGGTTACAGAAGTAACCCTTCGTTCCCCGAGGAGGGGAACGGAAGTGCTATAAAGTGGACTTGATCTTGGAAAATCCACGTATGGGAGGATTCGGTTCAGAAGCCGCTTGTCTGAAAGAGTATTGAACAGGCCAATGAAAGCAATGAATTTGAAGCGTAAGCTTGCGCAGGTGTGCTTCATTGGCAATTATCCCAGCATATAAGCACACCTGGAGCGAGTAAACGCCATCCTTTTAAGCTGAAGAGACTTTCTAACAGCTAAGGGACAGTCATTATGGGGACGGAGTATAGCACTTCTGTTCCCCTTCTTGGGGAACGAAGGGTTACTTCTGTAACCTCAAACGTTCCCTTTCGGTTGGGGAACTTCAGTGCTATAAATTGGATTTGATCTTGGAAAATCCACGTATGGGATAAATATGGAAAACGCCATAATGACTGCACCTTACCAATGCCCCCGATAAGGGGATAGTCAAACAAGCGTGACGCACCCCCATCATGGGGGGCGCGGTCCTCCAACGTGTCCCTGGCCCTAACTTATCCCACTTCAACCGAAGTTTTACGGATTTGGATATATTTTTTGGGAAGTCGCGAGCGTCTAGATAATTCTGGGAAATACAACAGTACGTTGGGAAGCGTGCAATCCTGATAGGGTGGACGCTGCGGAGGCCATCCGCTACCCAAGGGGGGAATAGATGGCAGAATTTACATATGGACTAGCCCTAAGAAGGGGGAGTATGCATAGTAAAAAGTGGTTAGCGGAGAGGGAAGACATGAGTCCACCCAGAGGGGGGAATTAACCATGGAGGAATAAGCATATGGGATCGTCTAGTGGGGATCACGCATAGCAGGCACCTATACCCAAAACGCGGGCTGACCAGCGGGCAGACCAACAACGTAGTGGGCCAGCAAGTGACTCCTCCGCTGAGTCAGTGCTGGGGGCCACGGAGGAATCTGCAGGGCTCACCTGACGGGTAACTTTACTGACAGATAAAAAGGCGCATGTATCTCTGTGTTAGGGAGAATTACGCAGCAAGCGTGTTTCAACACCCTACCGAGTTGTTTCCTCAATCATCAAAGGGTTACCTAATACCCTTGAGGAAACCGGCTCCACTCGCAGATTGTAAAACCTTGCAAATGTGTTGGGTGTCGCCCAGCCCGCAGCTCTACAGATGTCTGTTGGAGAGGCGCCGCGTGTACGCGTCCAAGAGGATGCGATGCTCTGAGTGGAGTGCGCACGCACTCTCGGGGGATGCGGCTCACCTCGGCTCTGATAAGCGAGAGAATGCTATTCCCAATCCTGTGGGAAAACTTAATTTCGATACGGCACTTCCCTGCTGCCACCGTCACAACAGACGAAGAGCTGCTAAACTCTGAGTGCGGTCCGAATAATACGCAAGGCGCAAACTGGACAATAAAGAAAGGGCTGGGACTGCCTCCTCCGGGGGCAGCGCTTGCAGGCTCACTACCTGGTATTAAAACGGAGTGGTAGGAACCTTGGGCACATATCGCGGGCGGGGTCTCAGGAGGTGAGAGAAAGCCAGCCCAATTACAGGCACGAGTCACTGACCGAAAAAATGCCTCCGGGTCCCCGACCCTCTAATCGATATCAATGCGACCAGCAGAGCTGTCTTCAGGGACAGAAAGAAACTGAGTCGAGGATCGAAGGGATCTGACGCGGCTCGTGTAACGAGGGCGAGATCCTAAGAGGGCATGAGAGGGGGCGGGGTGGATTAATTCGCCTAGCTCCCCTGAGGAACCGGATGATGAGGTTATGCGTTCCCACAGTGCTGCCAGCCACCGCGTCTGATCTGGCAAATTATGGGGGTCTTCTCAGCGAGAGACACACCATTCAGTGAATAGACTCCACTTCAGGGCATAGGCACGCTCGGGGAGGGGGCTCTAGCCCAAGTGACAGTATTACTCACCGCAATCGGAGGTTACTTAAGTCTTCCTCGCGTCTAAGGACCTCCAAAGATCGGCAAGGGTGCCAGATGGTGCCCTGTCCCTGAGAGAGTAGATGCTCTCTCGAATGGAACTGCCAGGGGAGGGCTATCGCGAGGAGGGAGAGCTCTGACATCCAGGTTCGGTTGAGCCAGAGGGGCGCAACCAGCAACCTGTTCCTCGTCCTCCCTGACCTTGCACAGTAACTGCGCGAGCAGGCTCACTGGGCGAAACGTGTATTTGCGCATGCCCCGAGGCCAGCTGTAAGCCAGTGCATCCATGCCGAGAGCACTCGGTTAGGGAAAAGAACAGCTGGCAATGAGCGATCTCGGGGGAAGCAACAGATTGATCTTGGCTTCCCCGAATCATGCCCATATCAGCTGAACAGACTCGGGGTGGAGTCTCCATTCTCCAGGATGTAAGGCTGCCGTGAGAGCGCATCGGCTGCACGGTTGAGCTTGCCTGAATATGAATGGCGTGCAGCAATATCAGCCGCGGATGACTCCAGAGGAGCTGAGACATGCGGCGAGAGCGCATACCCCCCATACGGTTGATATACGCCGCCGCCACCGTACTGTCCATCCTGACCAGCACGTGTTGCCGCTCTAGCACCGCAAAAAAATGGGAAGAGCGAGTAACACTGCCAACAGCTCCAGGCAATATGCCAATTCAACTGAGTCCCTTTCCACAGGTCCGCAGCTGCTTGCCCGCAGCACAAAGTCCCACAGCCCGTGTTGGAAGCATCTGTTGAAACGACAACAAGACTGGACGCCTATCCTAGAGGCACTCAGGCCTGTAGGAACAAGGGGTCGCTCAAGGCTGAGGGCGCGGCGACACAGCGCAGTAACAGAGACTCGGTGTGCGCGCGCGTGCCATGGGTCTCGATCGTGCAGCCAGTGCTGAAGTGGTCTCATATAGAGTTATCCGAGCGGCGTGAAGCGGATGCCATATGCCCCAGGAGCCTCTGAAATAGTTTCAGTGGGACCACTATTTTACTGTCGAGCTCTCTCAGACAGTACAGCATCAGCTGAGCGCTCTCTCCGGAGAGGCGCACTGCCATGGTGACCGAGTCCAGCTCCAGCCCGAGAGAAGAGATCCTCTGCACGGGGGCGAGTTTGCTTTTTTCTCGGTTGACCTGAAACCCCAACAGGTGGAAGTGCCGGAGCACTTTGTCTCTGTGCATAATCAATTGCTCCAAGAGTGGGCAAAAATCAGCCAGTCGTCAAGAAAATTGAGTATGCGGATGCGAAGGGGCGCTAAGGCACCCTCCGCGGGCTTGGTGAGGACCCGTGGAGACAGAGAGTCCGAAGGGGAGGACTTTGTATTGCCAAGCTCGACCTTCAAACGCAAACCGCAGAAACTGACAGTGGCGAGGAAGAGTGGAGACATGGAAATACGCATCCATCAGGTCTAATGCTGCAGAGGATGCGCTTCTGCGTGAGCATTCTGAAGGGCAGCTTGTGCAGACAGCGGTTCAAAACGCGCAGATCTAGGATTGGCCGTGACCCACCACGCTTTTGGGCACGATGAAGTGTGGGCTGTAAAACCCACTCTCCATCTCGGCTGGAGGGAGCGGCTCGATTGCATCCTTCGCCAGGAGGACAGCAATCTCCTCTCACAAGACAGGGGCGGACAGGGGGCTGACCCTGGTTAATACACACCTGTGACTTGGGGGGCTGTTTCACGAACTGAATTGCATAGCTGAGTCTGATTGTGTGTATGAGCCACCGCGAAGTGCTGGCCCACGCTAACCAGGCAGGCAGAGCTCTCGCTAATGGACTCATTGCTACAATCGCTGACGTACCAGCAGTGGGGCAGCGCGAAGTGGGTGTGCTGATCCGGGAAGCGCGTGGGCCCCAGGAAGAGCTGGAGGTGAGAGATTTGCTCTCACTCCGCACCCGAGCTCCAGAGGGGAGGCTCGAGGGGTGGGAGAAAGGAGACCGTCCTCCCAGCGCTCGTGAGCCACTGGCGAAACGCACCGAACCTGCAAGCTAGAAAGCATAGCGTCCCAGACTGGCGGATTTTGGGCTGTCACATCTGGGGAAGTGGAAAAGTGCTCTTTCATGATGTTTTCATGGCAGTAAAAAGTGCCGTTGGAAATGGGGCCCCGCCCTCCAGCGGGGAAAGAGCAAGTTCCCTCTTCTTCAGATGGCCTGTAACAGGGACGCTTCGCGGTCCGTTGCCGGACTTAGCGGCGTTCTGGGCAGGGGGGGCTGCCTGCTTCCGAGGTGCTTGACGCGCTCACTTCGGACCCGCCAATAAGACATCACCCATCAGACTGCTCTCTCACCGCCTCGAATTCCTGGGTGAATTCACAGACGGTGTCGCCGAACATGCCAGCTTGGGATATGGGGTCATGGGCAGACTTTGTCGACTTCGCGCATATCAGCCAGGAGTGGCGCTCCTGGATCTCGAGTGTGGATATCGTCCTCCCCAACGCACCCGCAGCGGACTTAGTAGTCCGAAGAGCTTAATTGGCTGCGGTGCGAAGCTCATAAGCCTGGGTTGGACCCACCCTCGTGCAGCTCGGCCAGCGCCTGCGCCTGGTAGTGCTGGTAGGTGGCTATAGCATTCAAGGTGGAAGCAGCCAGGCCCGCAGCCTTGTAAGCTCTAGCTCCAAGGGAGGCAGATAACTCACAGGCTTTGGATGGGAGACAAGGCGGACCCCGGCAAGAAGAGGTGCCGCGCGGATTGACCTCCATCGCGCACTCAACCTGAGGAATCGCCACATACCCCCTGGCTGTTCCACCGTCATGAGTGGTGAGGGTGGAGGGACACACAGCACGAGCAGAAAAAAGTGCTTTTTAAGACCGCGTGAGCCTACTGTGCCCCTCCAGAAAGAAGGGAACGCCCCTCTAGTCGGTCTGGCCACGGAACTGGGGGATAAACCATCTCCAACCCACGGCCGAAGCAGCCCGGGAAAGCATGGCTAACATGTCCATTTCAGGATCCGTTTTGACAGCGCTCACCTGCCTGGAGGGGGCGAGCGGGTCTGGATCATCATCGGACAGTGAAAGCCCACCCTCCGATGCCGCGGTGGATGTCTGGTCTCTGGTGTCATCGAGCGTAAGGGCTACCATCTGTAAGACGGATCGATTCCCCCGCCCGAAGCTTGGATGGAGCGCTTGGAGGAGCGGGAGGTCCGCAAGCCAGTGGGCAACGGATTATCTCTCGCTGAACCCTCAGATCTGCCCGAGTGCCCTCTGCAGAGCAGGGGACACCTGGGGTGGTTTGCCCTTTTGCTAAGGCTAGCCGTGATCTTTACTGCGCAACAGTCATGGCATCGGAATGACGACATGAACTGCCCACGAGCAGCGCATTAACATGCTGGACCCCCCAGGCATGCAACGCAGTGCCCGTGCCCATCATCTGAGGACAGGAAACCACCGCATCCAGAAACGCACAGTCGGAGCGCCATCCTGAAAAGGACGTGCTGCACGACTGTGTTGCTCTCTTTGTGAAGTTGCAACTTTTTACGCACCGTTCTGGAGGACCGGACCCAAAGAACGCCAGGCAAGGGAGAAACCCAGCTCGACCGTCTGCCGCTGTGTGCACACACTCTGGACCGGGAGAATGCTCTCGTTCGCTCGGAATCGCTGGATTACAGCAGGAGGAACCCTCATCGACTCGATCAGAAAGTCTCTGAAGTGAAAAGGATGGTGTTTGCTCGCTCCAGGTGTGCTTATATGCTGGGATAATTGGCATTGAAGCGCACCTGCGCAAGCTTACGCTTCAAATTCATTGCTTTCATTGGCCTGTTCAATACTCTTTCAGACAAGCGGCTTCTGAACCGAATCCTCCCATAAGTGGATTTTCCAAGATCAAATCCACTTTATAGCACTGAAGTTCCCCAACCGAAGGGGAACCAGAGTTATCTATGATTACAGATTACTTTTTTTGCAGTTGTTGCTCCAACATATGATGTAAAATTGGGATTATCCAATACAATCTCAATGCAATTTATAACTTTTGATGTTCATATGATCTCATAACATTTTAGTACAAACTGCTCATTCCCAATGACAGTTTGATATGGGTGTAGAATTTGGGTCAAGACTTCTTTTAAAAATAATACATTTTCATATTCATATTTTATAAAACAGTTATGTTTTCCATTGAGATCAGTCTGGATTATCTAAAATTATCTAAACTTTGCAGTAAATGGGACACTTACCCCTATGGAGTAGCGAGTGACACCTTTCATTTGGGGCTTGTTCAAAACTTCATCAAGAGTCATAGGGTCTCCCAGAATCTTTCCATCAGACAAGACGATTATTATTTTTGCAGAGTTATCTTTTGATCCATTCTCAGGGATGAAGATATCTGTGCTGTAATCAACCACAACATTGTAAAATCACACCATTAAGTCATCTCCAAATGCTGTAAAAATTGTTTGTAGACTCACAGGACGTGATTGATGGCAGAGGCCGTCTTTGTGAGATTGTAAATTTGCTTTATTTGTTTGACCTTTAGCAAGGATCCCACGCGATCCTCATTGTCTAGTAACGAGAGCTCAGTTCTGATCAAACTACCGTATTGCACTATTGCAAAATTACACTGCAGAGAGAAGAGGGGTTAATGTAAAGTTAATATCAATTGAATTGTATTTTGTGCCATGATTTTTTTTTCTTTATACTTGCATCGAAACATGTTTTCCAAACATTGGACATGACATTGTAGATGAAGTCTTTCGCTTTCTGAAAGTCATCATCTTGAATGCTGCCAGAACCATCCAGAACGAAAGCAATCTCTGTCCCAGGACCTAAGAAAGATGTAAATTAGCCATCCTGGCTTATTCTGGCACATTTTATGTTTTTTCCCTCCATACGTTATTAATTATCATGCATTATAAATAAATTCAACACTATCTACATTTTCCTTAAGACAGTCTCACCTTGATTGATCCTTCCACCTTGGTATTTGTTGTTGTTGTTGTTGTTGTTGTTGTTGTTGTTTTTGTTGTTGTCTTGAAAAAAGAGATTTAGGAATTTCAGGTATAAGATTTTATCTGGTTGAATGTGAAGACCCCATAGTAAATGCACCAAACATACCTAATTCAGCAGGATATAGTTTGACTTTTCCAGAAGGACTCACAAGTGTGCAAATTCCATTCAAATACTCAGTTCCTCTGTTCTCTGTTCTAACTTGATTACACATCTTAAAAGAGGAAAACAAACAAAAAGTCAATTACAGCATTTTCACTCGTCATTCACATTCATATTCAGCTAAAATAAATATTGCACAGAGGTTATTGAAGATTTTTTTAATGTTACTATCTCGCAGTGACCTACTGACTGTAACTGAAATTTAAAGAGGGGTCTGGTGCAGCTGTGAGCTGAGCTGCATGCAATGATTTAATACGCACAGCTTATGCTGCCTCCATACCTCTCACAGTGACTCTACCCGATCATTAGCTCCATTGATTGCATTGTGTCTAACATTGCATGTCTGAGACTGCGTAGCATGTGCAGCTGGCATGTGCAAGTCTGCACCCAGACACTATTGGAAAATTCATAAATGATCATTGCTTTATTTTAAGTGAAATTTTACAAACTAATTTGCTAGAAAGGCGAAGCGGTGGCGCAGTGGGTAGTGCTGTCGCCTTACAGCAAGAAGGTTTCTGGTTCAAGCCTCGGCTGGGTCAGTTGGCATTACTCTGTGGAGTTTGTATGTTCTCCCCATGTTCGCGTGGGTTTCCTCCAGGTCCAAAACCATGTGGTATAGTTAAATTGGGTAAGCCAAAATTGTCCGTAGTGTGTGTGCGTGTTTGTACGTGCGTGCTTGCGTGAATGAAAATGTATGGATGCTTCCCAGTGATGGGTTGCAGCTGGAAGGGCATCCGCTGCTTAAAACATATGCTGGTAAAGTTGGCAGTTCATTCCCAGATTAATAAAGGGACTAAGCCGAAGAGAAAATGAATGAATGATGTAAAGATCATCGACAAGCTAATCATATCATTATCAAATCAGTATAAGACCAAACCCTTAAAAATTGTCATGTATGGCTTAACCCATTGTCTCTCAATCACCAGCATCCCACCACCACCCAGTTGCTCCACCTTAATTTATGTGGGGGGAGAATTCTGATGTCAGGCTTGACACTGCGTTCTGACCACTCTCACTTTCTATCTTTCTCTCTCTCTCTCTCCCTCTCTATTTCCTGATGAGGAGAATAACACAACTAGGGTGTCCCTCCGAGCTCAAAGCCCTCTCCCCAGACAGCACACCAGATATTCCTAGTGGTGCCTTCACTATGGCTTCAAATGATGCCACGTTTGTAACTCTAAGCCTTGATGACCTTCTCATGATAGTCACGTCATCCTGAACAATTTCCCAACTTCTCAACAAATCAAAACTAATACAATTCCCCTAAAATAACAATTTCTAGTTATGTTTCACATTTTACAAACTAATTTTCCAACTTTCACAATGACAACTTTTACTATACTGTGAACAAAAACTGATACATTTTAGTCTGTCACATGTGTGAGGAGTAAACCACAGTTTTTTGGGGTTTTACTCTGAAAATGCTGTGCAACAGACACAAAATTTTGCAAACTATATCTGATTATGCATATATTAAGACTACTATTACTTCTCAGTTAGTAGCTAAACCTTTTAGTACTATAATCACATTGAGAATAAAGGAAATGTTGTCCAATCATATAAGACCTCCTAGTGTTTGTACATACCACAACATGTTGTTCCTGTGATGTCAGGCTAGCCACTGATGCTACTGGTCTCATGCCTTTTGGGTTCTCATCTTTAAAAGAGACATTTATGTAAAACATTTTTACAATTCTGCTTAAAAGGTTAGTTCACTCCAATTAGTTTTTATTCTGTCATTATTTAGTTTCTTTTTTCTGTTGAACAAAAAGGAAGAGATACTGAAGTATGTTTGAAAAAACAACCATTGAAATCCACAGCAGTTTTTTCAACATTCTTTAGTATATCTTTAATTGTGTTCAGCAGAAGAATTGAAAACTGTTTAGAACCAACTGAGTGTGAGTAAATGATGAGGTAATTAAATTTTTTTTTTGAAACATCTCTTTAATTCTGTAAATAAGTAATAACATTATATTAAAAAAATAACATTATATTTCTGCAAATGATCTGTTATAAAAAAAAAAGGCAAAGATAAACTTACCGTTAATGTTTACTTTGGTGCATTCATTGTCTAGAGTGCACTTGAAAAGTCTTCCATATGTTGGGGAGGGAACAAAAATTCTAGAACAGAACAAAGCAGTAACATGTTACAGAACACATCTAAAATAAAATTAAATAAAAAATTATATGTTTAGAATTACCAACCCATCTTTTGCCTGAATGATGGTTTGGCCAAAGAGTGGATCCTCATTTGTGAAATGTTTCACTGGAGATATTTGAATGTTAAACCCAGCTGCATTACACAGTACTGTAAAACACCAAATAATGAGTGGAAACACTACTCAGAACGAAGTTATTAAGATAAATTGAATTCATTATGATTTTAATTTTTTTTATCTTTTGCTTGAGTTTAAAACAAGCGCAACATGTTTTCAAACAATATTATAAACACAAATATACAGTATATTTAACACTGTAAATCAATACATACCCATCACAAATAGCAGTTTTCTGTACATTTTTGTGTAGATTGATCAATATCAATTTTCTTTAAAGAAAACACATTGACACATCGAGATACAAAGCAGCTTGTTTTGGTCTTGAGAAAGCAGAACAGCACTCATTTACTGCTGACTGTCAAACCCTCCCCCTTCACAAACTGCAGACACTGCATATTTTCTCTTGTGTAAAGCTGAACCCAGAGTAAGTAGATTATTATTCTGAATTTTAAAACATCTTTATTTTCAAAAACTGTATCAGTTCTGAAATAGGAGCCCTGGGAATAGTTCACCCAAATGTAAAAAGTAATTTTTCACTGTGAGAATCTCTTCACTGTGAGAGGCAGATCTGAGGATTACAGTGGGCGCTTATCGGTCGCCTCCAGGCCCATGGACCCTCCACTCCTCCACAGTGCGCCCTATCCAATCTTTGAGCGATTGTGCTGGTTCATCCTCTGGGATGGCCACACTTCCGCCCGATGACATCAAAGATCAGACACACATCAGAGCATCAGAGGCGAGCATCGGGGGCCAGCTACCACCCTCTGGGGTGCAAAGTGTGGTCACGCATCTGGAATCGGGCATAATGGCTGTGCTTCCCAGGGTGCGGAGGTTTCATCTTGGGGGCTAATATGTGAGTTGAAATCCTCCCAGTACCCCATCCTTTCTTTCCATGGGGTACACAGTGAGCTCATCCAGGAATGGAGGGCGATTTTTCTCAACCTGATCCTTGTGAACTTCATCTTCTGCAATGGAGAGGCTGCAAAAAGGAGAAGAGGAGGACTGTTCTTTCCCCTGTGGGGGGCTGGGGATTCCACCTGCAAATAGATGCAGTGTGCCATGTGTAGCTAATGTAACATGAGACTTTTTTTCTCTTTCCAGGTGTGAAGCCCAAGCGCTGCCAGCATGGGACGCGCTGCCTTCCAGTTTAGAATCCTTTCTCTCACACCTCCAGCCTTTCCGCAGGATCCTAGGAGGAAGGTAAGAGCCAATCTCTCACTTCAGCTCTTCCTCGGGATGCCGAATGGGTATTTCCAAACACCGTGAGGTCATGAGTTGTTTGCTCTCATTCACTCTCAATGGCACATAATATATGTAGGCAAACTAAAATCGACACCTGCAGAGAACAGAAAAAATACAACTGCAGTGTTAATATAACTGTTTAATATAATAATATAAATAATATAACTGCTAACTGTTAATATAACTGCTATCTTTTTTATTTGTATCAAGACTAAATATAATCAAAGAAGACATATACATATACAGAAATGGCATGACAATAATGGCACCCCAAATAGCCATAAATTGTTAATCAAACTACCTCTTATTAACTTTTGCCATTAATTTTATTAACAGAACAGCACTATTCGGAACTGAATTAAGATTGGATGCCTTTCAATAGCAAACAGAATGCAGAATTTATTTGATAAAGGGTCTTAAAGGGTTGTGTCTAAAGGGTTAGTTCACCCAAAAATGAAAATTTCCATTCAAAATCCAGAAAAAAAACCTAAAACACTGTCAAAAACTTCATGTGACATTAGTGATTCAACTGTGATCATATGAAGCTCCAATAACACTTTTGTACATCAAAAAAAAAGTAAAATAACTTTGTTCATCCTTGTCTTCTCATTTATGGTTGGTCAGGGTGCACATTTTCTATGTGAAGTACGATGTCTTTGCCATTCGAGTCAGCAGCATTGTATTGCCCATAGTAAACTGACTTTATGCAGAAGACAAAGACAAAAAAAAATGTTTTTACCATTTTTTGGTGCATAAAAGTGTTCTTTAATTTTTGAATAATTGGTTGACAATGTTTTTGGTTCATTGAACATCTCAGGACCATTGTTGTTTATGGAGGATGATCTCATGTTTCATCTAAAATATCTACACTCTTTTTGTGTAAATTGATTAATCACTGCTTTCTTTAAAGAATACATATCAGCACATCGAGATACAAAGCAGCTTGTTTTGGTCTTGAGAAAGCAGAACAGTGCACATTTACTGCTGACTGTCAAACCCTACTCCTCCACAAACTGCAGACACTGCATATTTTCTCTCTCTTCTCTAAAGCTGAACTTAGAACTAGTAGATTATTGAACTAAATTTTAAAAAATCTTTATTTTTAAAAACTGTATCAGTTCTGAAATAGGAGCCCTGGGAATAGTTCACCCAAATGTAATAAGTCATTTTCTCTCCCTTCACTTGTTCCAAATCAGTTTAAATTCCGCTTTAGTTCATAAACTCTAACATTGTGTTCTTGACACATAAGGAATAGCCAGATGACAGTGTGGATGCACTGTTTGTGGACAGCTCATGCCCTAAATGTGAGAGGCAGATCTGAGGATTACAGTGGGCGCTTATCGGTTGCCTTTGGGCTCGTGGACACTCCACTCCCCCACAGTGCGCCCTATCCAAGCTTCAAGCGATTGTGCCGGTTCATCCTCTGGGATGGCCACGCTTCCGCCCGATGGCATCAAAGATCAGACACACATCAGAGCATCGAAGGCGAGCGGTCATGTTCAGATGACAAACCGGGCCTGCTACCACCCTCCGGCTGTACTTCCCAGGCTGCTTCAGCGGTGGGTGCAAAGGTGTCATCTTGGGAGCGTTAGAATCCTCCCAGTCCCACTCCCCTTCTTTCTGTGAGGTACACAGTAAGCTCATCCAGGTATGAAGGGTGTTTTTCTCAACCTGGTCCTTGTGAACTTTGCCTTCATCTCCTGCAATGGCAGGGCGGCCGCGTATATAAGGTTATTCCCCAAGTGATGGCGTTGCCACCTGGAGTGGTAAGTCGAGACCCCTGTCCAAGGCATGTGGGTTATCTGTGTCTCTTATGGCCAGAGCCCATACAACATGGGCCATGCTGCTTCTGCCCTGCACCACAGTACCAGCACAAGGGCTGCACGAGAACAGTTCTTCCCCAAGCTTGGTGCATGAGCTCTGCATGGTTTCCTGGGGAAGAAGATGGCCACAGTGTGTTCCAGGAACAGCACCCTTGACTCACTCTGGTAAATATGTGCCATGTCAAAAAAGCTTGATATCTCGTTATGCTTATTTCCCAGATAGGCTTATTCAACGACAATGCCCGGGACTTTACCCTGGAGTTCTCTGCGCTGAAAGAACAGCCGAGCGTAATAGGGCAGGTCATCTTCCGGTGGGCTTGGAATAATGCTCCCCCGCTGGGCCCTGCTCTTTGGTGAGAGAGTCATGAGAAAACTCATTTCACTGGCTAGCAGCCATGTTGAGCCCCTGCCTCAGGGTTGCTTCGTTGTCCGTTTACCTGAGTTAGTGGCACCCTGGGGAAGCCAAGTACCGATGAAGAGGAGAAGAGAAGGACCTTTCTTTTCTCCTGTGTAGGGCCAGGGATTCTACCTGCAAATAAATGCAGTGCGCCATGTGTGGCTAATGAAATCTTAGACCTTCTCCTCTCTCTAGGTGTGAAGCCCAAGCGCTGCCAGCAATTTAAAACGCTGTCTTCCAGTTTGGAAGATGGAATCCTTTCTCTCACACCTCCAGCCTTTCTGCAGGATCCTGGGAGGAAGGTAAGAGCCAATCTCTCACTTCAGCTCTTCCTCGGGATGCTCCACTTCCCAAGGTGGACACTCCCAATCCTGAACTGCCCCATCACAGATCCGTCAGTGATTGCTCCAGTGACCCTGCTTGTTCGGGCTCTCTCAGTCTGCCCATCATAGTGGCTTATCCAGAAGGTCAAACGCGGCTATGCAATTCGATTCGCCACACGGCCTTCCGAATTACGGGTATGTATTTCATGGCAGTCAACGTCGCAGTCACTCCTGTCTAGTGTGAGGAAATTGCAGCCCTCCTGGTAAAGAATAAAATTGAGCCTGTTCCTACAGCCGAGATGGAGTGTTGGTTTTACAGCCCGTATTTCATTGTACCCAAAAATTATGGGTTATAACCATCTGGGCATTTTGAACCGTTATCAACACAGGATACTGTTAAAAATACTCAGGCAGAAATGCATCCCTCGATGCCACCGTTCTTGGTATTTGTTACAGCTATAGACCAGAAGGATGCTTGCAGAAGGTGGCCTAGTGCCTCTTCGCCTAGTGGGCATCTGAATTTTTCGATGACTGGCTGTTGTTAGCACAGTCAGTTGTTTATGTACAGGGACCCGGTGTTTTGGCACCTTGACCTGTTGGGGAAAGAGCAAGCTCTACCCCATGCAAAGTTTCTCTTATCTTGGGATGAAGCTGGACTCGATCTCCTTGATGGTTTATCAAAAAGTGTGCCAGTCTAGTTCGGCAAGAAAAAAAGTGGTCCTACTGACCTAAAAAGTGTTTTTTCAATGACTCCTGTGGCATATCCTGGTCACACCACTCCGATTTTTCATATGAGACCAATTCAGCAATGGCTTCATGAATGGGTCCTAAGATGGTGTATGGTGCATGGGGTTATTCCCTGACTGAGGCTGCCCTCGACACAAATGCTCTGGCCAGAGCTTAGGCAATATGCATTTCTCCTAGTGAGTCTGCTTGCACAGACCCTGTGCAAGGTCTGGGAGGACAAGGAGCATGTTGCACCTCTGAGGCTCAACTGGACCTGATTTTCCGAACTTACAGTCTTTGTCATGACCCCTCGTTGGCAAATTCCCATGAGGAAGGACCCTTTTCTTAGGAATGGTCACCCTCTGGTACCTGCGCCTGGTAACTCTGCTAACTCTTTTTCTGATAAAACAGCATGTGGCCACGCTCCTTTTGTTGTGTGTTCCTCCCGGAGAATAGGTGTGTCAACTGAATGGTTTGTGATGTCACTAACCCGAATGTCTTTTATTGTAGTTTTTCAACCAGACGCTTGCTGTAGGCTTTGCTATGCTAACTCTTTAAATAACAGTTTCTTCCTTTGCATTAAACTTTGAGTTTTGTAACTTGGCATTTGCTGTTTATCCTTATACAGCTACATTACACAATACCTAAAGATAAAAAGTTAACCACCTCTTTAAAATGTTTTTTGGCATGAAACCAAACCAATGCTCTAATATTACTAAGCTATAAAAACTAGCACTGTCGCCTCACAGCAAAAAAGTCACTGGTTCGAGAATCAACTATAGGCCAGGTGTCATTGCTGTGTGGAGTCTGCATGTTCTCTCTGTGTTTGGGTCGGTTTCCCCTACACACCAAAGACATGTGGTATAGGTGATGTTCAAGGTGACAATCAACAGCCATCTAAACACCATAGATTGCTGGAAAACATTCAACAAACTACAAATCTGCTGGTTTATGGACTACAGATCCCAGTCATGCAAGACACACACTCACCTGCTCCAAGTCACCATTGATTAGACACTCACAGCTGAAGCTGCTTTTGGACTGATTACTGCACTATAAATGCAGCACACTAACACACAGCTGTTGCTGAGTCTTGTTATCTGCTAAGTGACATTACAACGCGTTTCCTTTGTCTTGCTTTGCCGTATTTTGGTCTTCGCCTCGTTTATTTGTGTATTCCTGTCTGCTGCCTGCCTTATGACCTTTCGCCTGTTACTTTGACTACATTTCTGGATTGCCTATATACATCTTTTTGCACCTGTGTTGACCATTGCTTACCTGACCTTGCTAATAAACCTGCATTTGGATCCGCAGCCCTGTTGTCAGTGTCATATCCCCATTACAGAAGACTCAGCCCCAACATAGATCCAGCGGGTATCAAGATCATGCATCTGCATCAGAAAGCCCGGTCTATAGAGGAGTATTGTGGAGGACTTCATCCAGGTAGCCCATTTAACATCTTTGGATGAGTTATGCCTGATGATATTTTTTGTGGTAGTTTATCTGAGCCCTTTTATTCCAACATGCCACTGCACAACCCCCACTAGACTTTAAAATATTATAAAGATCTCGCATTGCAACTAAGTGGGTCCCCCTTCACTGTTGGCAAGGTGGAGGAGACCCCTAAATGTTTTTTGGGGGCAGGCAAAGCACAGCAAGACCTGATGGCCACCTTAAGTCCTCCAGTTCACAAGATGGCGGCCTTCTGTCCTCCAGGTCACAAAGAGGCCGCAACCAACCAACCCCATATAAACTAGAAATTGCAAGAGTTCAGTCAAAGCGGGGTGAATCAGCTTTCAGCAGCTACGCCCCTCGCTGCTGAAATAAGCTTCCAGAAATGATCAGATGTGCTCCAGCATAAGGGACATTCTAATGAAGAGTGAAAACACATGTGTTTAGGTATGCCTTTACTGAATGAGGGCTGTGCTGCATCAGACAGATCGCACTATTATGTTTTTCTTTTCTTTTTCATTCTTAAACTTGTCTCTTTTATTCCTCTTTATGTAAAGCACTTTGGATTGCCACTGTGTATGAAATGTGCTATATAAATAAACTTGCCTTGCCTTGCCTCCGCAGCTCCATGCTCCAGGCCCTCTGCAGTTTCACGCTCCAGGCCCTCCGCAGCTCTATGTTCTAAGCCCTCTGGAGCTCCATGCTCCAGGCCCTCCGCAGCTCCATGCTCCGGGCCCTCCGCAGCTCCACGCTCCAGGCCCTCCGCAGCTCTCTATATTCTAAGCCCTCTTCAGCTCCATGCTTCAGGTGTCACGAATTACAGGGAGACCCAATTGCAAGTAAAAAGATTTATTGGACTCAGACAGAAAACAGAGAAGGATGGACGCAGGCAGATGACTGATGAGTGAAGTGAGCAGCAGGAAGATGTATAATGAATAGAACAGGGAAGTACTGTAGAGCAAGTTCAGGGAGCTGATTACAGCTGGGCGGTGCTACGCACGGCAAATGCTGGTGACGGCGTACACGTGACCACCCAGCTGATATGTAAACACAACTGACAGCCACGCGACTACAACACAGACACAGAGACACCCAAACACAGACACACTGCAGGCCCTCCGCAGCTCCACTCTCCAGGCCCTCCGCAGCTCCACTCTCCAGGCCCTCCGCAGCTCCACGCTCCAGGCCCTCCGCAGCTCCACTCTCCAGGCCCTCCGCAGCTCCAATCTCCAGGTCCTCCGCAGCTCCACCCTTCAGGCCCTCCGCAGCTCCACGCTCCAGGCCTTCCGCAGCTCCACCCTTTAGGCCCTTCGCAGCTTCACGCTCCAGGCCCTCCGTTACAGGTAAATTGGATTTTCTAAATTGGCCATACTGTATGAATCTGCATGTGAATGAGAGAGTAAATGATTGTTCCCAAACACTGTTATGTCACGAGTTAGTTTGCTTTCATTGCTGGGTTGTGGTAGGAAGGACATCCGTCACAATAAAACTTATTCCAGAGTAATTTGCGGTACAGTGCTCTGTGGTGACCCCTGATAAATCAGGGACTAAGCTGTGGTAAGTCAGTTTATGACTCATACAAGACTAATATTGACTAACATGGAAGGAAATGGTATATGTGGTATATATGTGGGGAGAAGGTATGCAAACTTTTTCACTCCCAATGGCACATAATATTGAAAAAAAAAATACAACTGCAGGGTTAATATTACTGTTTGTGCTATTAAGTATTGGTTATTGATGTTTAGCTCTTTGGAGATTGTTGTATATTGAGTTAGTAACAAATTGATTGTTCTGCAATGACGCACTCTAGTGGTGTGTGTGTGTGTGTGTGTGTGTGTGTGTGTGTGTGTGTGTGTGTGTTTATGAGATTGTTGCAATAGTGCAGTAAAGACGTGTTCTGAGCAGCTATCCTTTAATATAAATATTATTAAAAGAGACAGTAAAATGTTTACCATTTCAAATGATTTTGTATACAGACATGGCATTGCAGTAATGGCACCACAAACAGCCATAAAATGTTAGTTTATCAAACTACCTCTTAACTTTTGTCATAATTTTATTAACTGAACAGCACTATTCGGAACTGAACTGATGCCTTTCAATAACAAACAGGATGCAGAATGGATTTCCTACAGGGTTATAAGGGTTATGTTTAAAGGGTTAGTTCACCCAAAAATTAAAATTTTAATTCAAAATCCATAAAAAAAACCTAAAAAACTGTCAAAAACTTGACATTAGCTGTAATCATATGAAGCTCTAAATACACTTTTGTGCACCAAGAAAAGAAGGCAAAAACGGTGGCGCAGCGGGTAGCATGTTTGCCTCACAGCAATAAGGGCGCTGGTTTGAGTCAGTTGGCGTTTTTGTGTTTAGTTTGCATGTTCTCTCTGTGTTCCCGTGGGTTTCCTCTGGGTGCTCTGGTTTCCCCCACAAGTCCAAAGACATGTAGGTGAATTGGGTATAGGCTAAAATTGTCTGTAGTATATGTGTTTGAATGAGTGTGTATGGATGTTTCCCAGTGATGGGTTGCATCTAAAGGCAATCCACTGCATAAAACATATGCTGGCGGTTAATTTCCCTGTGATTTCCCCAGATTAATAAAGGGACTAAGACGAAATGAAAATTTGTTCATCTTTGTCTTCTCTTTTATGATAAGTGTACTACGTGCAGTACGATGTCTTTGCCGTTTGTGTCAGCAGCATTGTATTGCCCATAGTAAACTGACTTGATGCAGAAGACAAAGATAAATTAAGAAATAGTTTTTACCATTTTTTTGGTGCATAAAAGTGTTCTATGAGTTTTAAATGTATGTTTGACGATGTTTTTGGTTCTTTAAACATCTCAGAAACATTGCTGTCTATGGAGGATAGGAGATCTCTGGGATTTCATCTAAAATATTAAAATTCATATTCTGAAGAGGAACAAATGTCTCATGGAATTGAAAGCAAATGAAGGTGAGTAACTAATAACATCATTTATTTCTGTGTGAACTCAACATTTGATCATAGGGGGCGAAAGAGTTCAACACAGTTTGCAATGGAAAGCTTGAGTAAAACTGAGAAATACGTAGGCAGTGCACTGCACAGCACCCTTAATCAGAGGCCTTCTCTGCATTCTCAACAGTTAAAATTGCAATTTCATTAGAAAGAAGGAATTATTTCACAATTTTTCAAAAACAAATCAACACATTTTTAAATGATTTATTCTGTGCATGCACAGTCTAATCGTTTTTGATGCAACAGACAGGGAAGTTAATGTCAAATGAACTTATAGGAAACTCTGTGGTTAGCTGTTTTCAGGGCTGTCACATGTTATGTGTGGTCCTGAAATGGAAAGAAAAACTATGCACTTGAGAAAGGCAGTTTTGACTGCACTCAGGCTGTCCCACATTTTAACATTGGAAGTTTGTGTCTCGCATTTATTTGTTTTGGACAATCATAACAATAAAAAACATGAATTGTGTATATAAAGTATTTCACATTCAAAGAAAAAATGTCAAATAGTGACAGAAAACACGTAAATTGGAGTGATCATTAGTGTTTAAAAAGATTTTAAAATGGTATTTTTTTGTGATTGAGATAGAAAAGTAATATATGTTCGATCAAAATGATGGTTTGTAAACAGTGAACTACAGTTTGAGTCAAAATATGTTTTTAGTCAAGCAAAATTTTACACAGACATTTTGCGGTATGGAAATACAGCCTTAATGGCTGTATAATGGCTGTATACAGTATGAGTCAAATAAAACTGTACGGTCAGTAATCAGTAATAATTATCAATCTTTTTTAGATATAAAAACTATATATATAAACTATATAAAAAGTTTTAAGCAACAACAAATAACCAATCTTTTTTTCAGGTAAACCAAGTTGAGCTGTGTGATCACACTTATGAAGGGCAATGCATGTGTGTGGGTCTGTGTGCTATTACGGGAAGTAACACATTAACTTCGGTCTAATTTATTTGACACTGAAATCTGGCTTGACAACATGGCATGCTTTTTACGTCTATGGATATTTTTTAGTGCTCTGGCCTTTTCAAATGGTAAGTTATAAAAAGAAATGAGTCTTCATTCTTAATGTATTAGTGTATAATTCTTATCATGCTCTTGTGTTTAGCTCTGAGCCGCTGGAGTGAAAGATGTACAGATGTGAGCATTGACACCTCTCTGAAATCTAAAGTTTCTCTCCCGTGTCACTTTAATACGAGCTTGGACAGTGACACAGTGACATGGAGACACCTAAACAATGGAGACACTCTTGTAAAGATCATAGCTGATGGCAGAATCTACTTTGATAATCCTAGAGAAGGACGAGTGACTGCTTTTCCGCTTTTAGTTGAGGAAGGAAACTTCTCCATCCTCATCCATGATCTGGAGTCTTCAGACGTCGGCGTGTACTTTTGTGAGCTGAACAGTGAATGCTGGAGAGTGAAGATCACAGAATCAGCTAAATCGATCCCTGCACAGGAAAGTTGGTGTTTAATTTAATTTTAATGCCTAATAGCAAATTACTTAGTAAGCAAAATAAATCATTTAGCATTTATTTCACATGTCATTTTTATTTCTGGCACAGACACAGTAACGTTGAGCTCTGATCTGAACTCCTGGTTGTTCTTTTTGGCTGGAGCTTGTCTTTTTGCAGTGGTTTTTATTGTGTTTTATCACATTGGTGAGCACGACTGTTCATTTATTATAAGGAAAATACTATGAACCACTATATTAACCAGGATTCTATTTTGTTTGTTTGTCAAATCATACTCAGGCTTGCATAACCGTTTGCGATCCTGGACAGGCTTTGGTACGTACTGTAATAAAGGTATAGGGCTTAAAAAGTTTGCTAGCTTGTATATTTATACAACATATAGTTAGAGTCATAATTATTAGCCCCCCTGTTTATTTTTCCCCAATTTCTGTTTAACGGAGGGAAGATTTTTTTTTCAGCACATTTCTAAACATAATAGTTTTAATAACTCATTTCTTATAACTGATTTATTTAATCTTTGCCATGATGACAGTAAATAATATTTTACTAGATATAAGACACTTCTATACAGCTTAAAGTGACATTTAAAAGCTTAACTTTGTTAATTAGGTTAACTAGGCACTAGGCAGGTTAGGGTAATTAGGCAAGTTATTGTATAACGAGGGTTTGTTTTGTAGACTAATAAAAAATATATAGCTTGAAGGGGCTAATAATTTTGTCCTTAAAATGTATTTTAAAAAATTAAAATATTCTAACCGAAATAAAACAAACAAGAATAAAATTTCTCCAGAAGAAAAAATATTATCAGACATACTGTAAAAATTTCCCTGCTCTGTTTAACATCATTGTGGAAATATTTTAAAAAAGAAAAAAACATTCAAAGGGGGGCTAATAATTCTGACTTCAACTGTATATGAATACAAAAACATAAATTCATCAATCCCTCTATTGTTCAAACTGCTTCATACATATTTAATAAAATTCATTTTTAATTACAGTTTAAACAATGTTGATGAATTAATCATTGCTTCATTATTGTTGGATTTCTGCTGTTCTCACAAATTTCGAACAAAAAATTAATGCTATAAATGATTAACCAAGCCCAACTTATTTGATCCATTACTGTTGGCTTGTTTCCTTTGATATATCTTGTGTTTTCAAATATGCTATTTATAATTGATAATCTTTTATTCATGCATATCAGCATTCAGAAATCAAGATTCAACTGAGCCTACCATAACTACAGTGTATGATGGTAAGTCAAGACACAATTATGTTTGGAAGATGTTTTGATGATAAAGGTTGAGAATAACAGCCTTATTTTTTTTAGGCATCCAGGCAAAGGGGAGAAGCTGACAACATTGGGATACAAACACATTTTGTCTTAAAATGAAGACGATTCAAAAGGTTCTACACATATTATTTCTGTAAACTTGTGTAAATTAATATTCTATTGTATGTTGATTGTTTTCCTTTAAAGTTTTTTTTTTTTAATTATTTTTTTTTTAACTGTTTTAAATGAATGTCATCTACACTCAACGGCCACTTTATTATGTACAACTTACTAGTTCCCGGTTGGACTTTCTTTTGTCTTCAGAACTGACTTAATCCTTTGTGGCATAGATTCAGCAAGATACTGGAAATATTCCTCAGAGATTATGTTCCATGTTGACATAATGGCATCACACAGTTGCTGCAGATTTGTCAGCTGCACATCCATGATGTGAACCCCTCATTCCACCACATCCCAAAGCTGCACCACTGTATTAAGCTCTAGTGACTGTGGAGGCCATTTGAGTACAGTGAACTCAATTGTCACGTGCAAGAAACCAGCCTGAGATGATTCACGTTTTATGATATGCACTGTTAACCCTTACTGTAGATTATGCAGTATATAACTGTAAAATAGCCAGTGTTTTGCTGTAATAAAAGGAAACAGTATTTTACTGTAAAATGAGCAGGATTTGTATGAGATTTTGTAGTGCAAAGAATAAATTACAGTAATTTACTCTATGTACCCATTACAGAGTTACTGTGATACTAAATGGTAAATTACTGCTCAACCATTATTACCCCATGTAATCTGATGCTTTATGTTGCTATATATATATATATATATATATATATATATATATATATATATATATATATATATATATATATATATATATATATATATATATACATATACTGTTCAGTTTTGGTATATGTATGGTCAGTATTGAGGAGAAAGTGAGACAATGCATTAATGATAAGGTAAATTTCTCTGCAGCCATCTCTGTGTTTTCTTTGGTTCCTTTTATGTTTTTAACATTGAGTATCAGGAGTCAACCAATGTCAATGTCACAGCTAATTAAAAGGTAAAGATATCGACAAGATGCATTTAAAGGCAAAAATATTCACACAGAGCAACCAAATTATCATTATCATTTTTATAACTTTGTTTACTTTTCTATAATTAATCTAATTTGCCTAGTTTAGCCTACAGTTAAGCTTTTGAATTGCACTTTAAGCTGAATATTAGTATTTTGCTAAATAAAAATGTGTTATTTAAAAAATATCTTAAACAGCACGTACATACATTTTTACAGAGACTCAATGAATTTGTTTGGAAAACTTCAAATGGTAAAAATGGCATTAACAGTATAGTATAAAGACTTTCCTAAATAAATGTATTAATCAGGTTATTTTATTTATTTATTTATTTTTATTACTACAGGTTTGGAACAACATGAGGATCAGATTATTTATTATTATTATATTTTTTTTTTTTTTTTTTTTTTTTTTGCTTTGGATGAAGTTTTTATATTTTTATTGTTTTTACTTAATGATATGTGCATGATTGTGATAAATGTAGGCAGTTCCTTTGAAAATATGCTATGTACCAGGGATGTCAAACTCCTGGAGGGCCACAGCCCAGCAGAATTTAGTTCCAGCCCTGCTTCAACACACTTCCTTTAGATTTAGTTTGATCAGGTGTGTTTAATTAGTATAACTGCACTGTTACTCTGTAGATTATGCAGTAAATAACTGTAAAAAAAAAAAAAAAAAAAAAAAAACATTGATTTGGGCATCACCACACACTCCTACAGGCTGTCCGTCTTATTCTAAACACAAAGGTGTTAGAAAAAGTTTTCAGAAAATGCTGGCCCTTTAAGGGAGCTAGGTGTTTGATTTGTTTACTGCTGAGTGTGCTCTATTCTCTATCCATCAATTCAGATGTAGAGTCTGATATATTTTAGGCTTTAAATAAGAAATAAGTAAATAAGTAAAATTGTTGCCAGTAACCAAACTTTTACAGTGAGTAGCTGGCAACAGTGTTGCCAGTATTCTACTGTAAAAAACCCCGGTAAGGTCTAACAGTGTGGTGTGTGTGATCCTGCTGGAAGTAACCATCAGAAGATGGGTACACTGTGGTCATAAAGGGATGGACATGGGGCCTGTTTCAGTAAGGAAGTTCAAACAACTCGGAGTTTAAACTTGAACTCTGAGTTGATTTACCGAGAGATTAAAAACTCAGAGTTTTCAGTTTCAGAACAGCTGATCTGAGTTAGGTCAATCAACTTTGAGTAGACCAACTCAGAGTTAAGCGCGCGCACCATGACTATAAAAAGGCATTATTAATGGAGCGCAGATATTACGAGTGATCAAGGCAACATCTTAAAAAAAAAGAGATCACCATTTCTTTCTCCAGCTGAATTTGATGTGCTAATGCAAAGTTATAGCAAATATGAGCATATATATTTAAAAAGAAGCAACCATCAGTGAAACGGAGAAAGTTAGCCTGGGAAAACAGCTGCTCAAGTAAATGCGTAATTTTACATTTTAAAATATTTAAATATTTAAGTATAATAAAATAAGTAATGTAATGTGTGATGTGTATAATTTTTTTCTAAACTTTTATACACGTTTATCAGTTTTAATAGATTTAATCGTGCACTTGTGTCTGCCTTTTTTACTTATCAAGTGATAGAGGTTGATATAGTATATATATTTAGTACATGTCGAAGGTCAGTGAATTTAAGCTAATTATTTATTGTTCTGTGTGTGACTAAAAGGTAGGCAATGTCTATGTTTTCATCCAAATATATTACACAAATTTATGTGCAAAACTGGAATATTGCATAAAAGATAAGTATAAAGCAGCGTTTCCATCCAACGAGTTAAAGAGAACAAAATCGTCACTTCCTAATTAACTGGTGCCAAATATCAACAGTTAAAACAGAATTTACTGTGGTAAAAGAAGCTGCGTCACTTATTTCTTTATTTAATAAATGTACTTGCGCCTCAGAAGACAATGCTGACACACAGTGAACACGTGGGGGCGTTTGAAGCCATGAGACGCAGAGACTCTTGACACGCTTCAGATGCTCGGAGGTAATTAATAATACATATAATACTGAATCAGTTCAGGCATTTTAAAATGACTAAAACATCATTTAAAACGTGTTACAGTGTGCTCAGCCTGCTGGTTTGTCCATTCACACACATTTTCATCATCAAATGATAACCTTTTTTAATGTACATACTGTAATTTGTTCAGTAAAAGTGTTTTCATCTTAGTTTATGTGCATATTTTCTATCGAATAAAAGTTTATCCTACTCAATTTTGCATGTGTTTTTTATGCATATTTTCAAAAGTTTTATGCGTTTCCATCAATCGTTTTTATGCATATCTCCAAAATGAGCATTAAAATAGGTGGGTGGAAACTTAAGGCTAAGGCGAGAATTACCACTTCATCTTTAATAAAGGGGAGGAGACCAACAGAAACTCTGAGTTTAGAGAATAAAACTTGCTTCTGACCAGGTTAGGTTCACAGAGTAAGTTACCACAGTAACCACTCATTTCAGGGTTAAAATACTCTTGAGTTTTCACTTAACCTCCTTTCTGAAACAGGCCCATGGTCAGCAACAATACTTAGGTAGGCTGTGGTGTTGACACGATGCTCAATTGGTACTACTGGGCCCAAAGTGTGCCAAGAAAATAAAAGTGTGCCACCACCACCACCATCCTGAACCATTGATACAAGGCAGGATGGATCCATGCTTTCATGTTGTTGACTTCAAATTCTGACCCTACCATCTGAATGTTGCAGCAGAAATCGAGACTCATCTGATCAGGCAATGTTTCTCCAATCTTCCATTGTCCAATTTTGGTGTGCCTGTGTGAATTGTACCCTCAATTTCCTGTTCTTAGCTGACAGGAGTGGCACCATGTGTGGTCTTCTGCTGCGGTAGCCCATCGGCCTCAAGGTTTGACGTGTTGGGAGAAGCTGTTTTCCATACCTCAGTTGTATCAAGTGGTTATTTGAGTTACTGTTGCCTTTCTATCAGCTCAAACCAGTCTGGCCATTCTCCTCTGATCTCTGGCATCAACATAGCATTTGCGTCCACAAACCTGCCGCTCACTGAATATGTTCTCTTTTCTGGACCATTCTCTGAAAATCCTAGAGATGGTTGTGTGTGAAAATTCCAGTAGATCAGCTGTTTCTGAAATACTCAGACCAGCCAGCAACCGTGCCACGTTCAAAGTCACATAAATCACTTTTCTTCCCAATTCTAATGCTTTGTTTGAACTGCAGCAGTTCGTCTTGACCATGGCTGTTTCTCAATTTCAAGAACGCAGAGAACGGACTTGTGCTCTTGTCCTTGAAAGAACGAACTCGGCAGACCGTTTGGGCAGAGAACGCGTCCTGTGAGGATTGAGATGCTGCGTTATTTCTGATAGTCACATGACTTTCACGTGTTTTTAATAGAAAATTATTTAAACATTACAGCATTCATACAACGATTTATTGTTTTCCCCCTTTTCAAAATATATACTATGCATAAAAACATTATAAATAGGCATTGCACAAGATAAATAAAACAGATTTTAATGTGAATTTCAGCAAATGTGTTTATTCCTTTATTAAGATGTCCATGGTGATGTTTATATTTACCATATCATTTAGCAAAAATTCTGAGATAAATAAGTTGAATCTCTGAACTTCAATCTAAATAAAATGCTGTGCTTCCCACTCCAGTCGCAATGACTTCTGGGAGTTCTAGCGTGAGTTCAGTGCTCAAGGCTGCATCGGTGCATCCTCGATATCAAGAACATATCCGGGAAGTTTCAGGCATCCTCTGTTCTTGCGGTCTTGAGTATTGGAACTGAACTTTGGCAGTTGATGATGACGTTACATGAAAACATTAGGACGCAAGACTGCTGAAGAACGCATATTGAGAAACAGCCCATGTCTACTACCGTAATACATTGAGTTGCTGCCATGTAATTGGCTTATTATAAATTTGTGTTAACTAGTAGTAAGGCAGGTGTACCTAATAAAGTGGCCGGTGAGTGCATATTTTAAGCATACTTTGTACTATTTTTGTAAAATACTGTTTTAATTACAGCGATTGTTTTTTTTTTTTATTATTCTGTACTGTTTTTAATGTGGGTGCAAATACTGATTATTTTTTCACTGCCTTTCTTAATACATACAGCATGAAAAATCAGAGAATATTGCAAAAGGAGAATGTGCAGCGATAAAATAAAGCTGTTAAAGTTTCAAAGAAGAAATGTTGGTGTCTGCACAACAAATGTATAAAAGAGATTTTATGTTTAAATCGTATTAGCTGCAGGAA